TTTTTTCCTTCATCAGCATTCTCCGCTACGAGAGCACGTCCTTGTTCACGGAGATAACTGCTCATACAATCGGCGATCGTCAAATGTCCATTGGGTACACGTTCAAATAGTCTATACATAGTCGTGAGATCATCGCATTTATTGAACTTGAGCATATGGTACACGCCTGAATTCTCCATTTCAACTATGGTTTTCAAATGTTTCGTTATCAGTTCATCTAAATCAAGAAGAACATTGATTTTTGCGGAATAACTTCATGTTTTTCCCATCTCTAACCTTCGAGTACTCGAACGATGTGTTCTTCGGTTGATTTATCCAGATAATGAACTGCCCGTTCACCTTCTTCACTGATCCGTGCTGCTACTTTTCGTATGTAAACTGAGGCACTATTCTCCGCCAATAATTTTTGACTTTCAAGCTGCAAAAAGACAAAGCAATCAAGTTAGAAACTTAGAGGCCATCGCTTTCTTCTATTCTTCATACGCGATAGAACTCCGCTGATTGTTGTAGAAATGGTATTTCGAAATCTTCAGCATAAACTGAACGATTGTCGATGCCTAGATTCATTAACATCTGACAAGCATTTTTCACGGCGCTCCTAAAAAGAGAAATATCATATTNATAATTTTTGACTTTCAAGCTGCAAAAAGACAAAGCAATCAAGTTAGAAACTTAGAGGCCATCGCTTTCTTCTATTCTTCATACGCGATAGAACTCCGCTGATTGTTGTAGAAATGGTATTTCGAAATCTTCAGCATAAACTGAACGATTGTCGATGCCTAGATTCATTAACATCTGACAAGCATTTTTCACGGCGCTCCTAAAAAGAGAAATATCATATTCGAAGATGTGCTTGTGATTTATAACTTCATCGTTTAGCTTCGAGGCATTTCTTTCTGCGATCAAACGTGCCCATCAATGCGTGTGGCTCACTTGTTGGTTTTCTTTCCTTGTCTCATTCTATTAACTATCATTGCGTTAAGAGACAACAGCGATTGAAAAAGAAAAAGGAAAAAAGCACAAAAAAAGACGTTTCCATTTCTCCGTTTGTCTTCTCCCATTTTTTTTCCTTTGTTTCCTCTCGAACAAACGATCGGAAAAAAATAAGCTTGTTAACAAGCGTCGTCGTTCAACATATAAATCTTATTTCTATAGGGGACACGTTCTGAAAAAGGAGAAAAAATGACAATATTTCTTTCTGATTTTCTCCTACTAATTCTGACATTAAAGTTTATTAATGGTCAATTTTGTTATACAAACCAATGCTCTGTTCATGCAACGTTAACTGGTGATGTACAAAATTGGGCTCTCTTGATTCAGAATTACATTCTGAAATTGGCATCAGATACTATGCATCGTGAAAAAACTCAAGAATACTTCGATCTAGCTGAATACAAAGAAGAAACGAAACATGGAGATAAATTACTTGAGGAAATGAAAGCGACTTTGGAGAGATATTTCGAATACAAGCAACACGCTGCTAATCGAATTGCCAAACATGCGCGAGAATTACATGATTCCATGTATTTAGCACGTGAAAAAGTTTATTTACAATATTTAGCAAATAATTCAACTGGTCAACCATCATGGCGCAAATCGAACGGATCGCTCGGATTAACTCAGCATAAACAACTACTTCATTTGGACGCTGATGCGTATAAGGATGCTGATATACCGTTACGTTTACCATCGAATATGACGTTTCATCCGCATTTTAAACGAAATGTTAGCCTTAAACATAGTGTTGTGAAAATTAGTGATGAAATACCGCGAAATAATGTCGAATCTATTTGGACAGTCGAATGGACACACGGACTCGAATCTACATTTGTGCAAAATCGAGAGGAAGATCCTGGAATACGCTGGCAATACTTCGGCTCCAAAGTTGGTCTCATACGATTGTATCCCGGTCGTGAATGGGATCAGAACTTTGCGGGATTTTATAATGATTATGATCCTCGTGTTCGTCCGTGGTATATCGGTACGACAAGCGGACCGAAAGATGTGATTATTATAATTGATTGCAGTGAATCCATGGCATCGAATGGTAAATTCGCTATCGCACGATCAGTCGCTACAGTTATTATTAATACGTTAACACGACAAGACTATGTAAATGTTATATGTGCACACGAATCTCATTGGAACGATATTGGCAAATGGCATATTTATAAAACGAAAGTTTTAAGCTGTGAGCAGGACAAGATGGTCAAAGCCACATTAGCCTACAAACGTGATTTAAAAGAAAAAATCGCAGAATTGAAACCAGGTGGAACATCTGAATTCGAAACAGCGTTTGATACAGCATTTGATTTATTTCAACGTGAGCCAAGAACGGGTTGTCAGTCGATTTTAGTCTTTATCACCGATGGACAAGATACCGATGGAGAAAAAGTACGTTGCGGAGCTGGTCAGTATACACGTAGTGGATATGTGCCAGGACCGATTTGCAAGTATAACTGGACACGATATTGGACGCAAGTGAAACAACGACAACAATTTCATCCACGAGCAAGGGTGTTTAGTTACCTCGTGAAAGACAACGGACAAATATTTCCCGGAAAACTAGGTAAGAAATCTTTTCATTGATTGACACGATAGTTTCGTTTTATTTGCATAGCGTGTGAAAATGATGGGCATTTCACTATTTTGAACGACGGGGAGAATTTAATCAATAAAATGTTCAATTATTTCGATTATCTATCCAAAGCTTCGCTGGGCACGAACGGCAGTTGGACATCGCAATATATCGATCAGTGGGGCTTAGGAATCATGTTAACCTATGCAATACCAGTCATTTCTGACATAGATGGACGTTTAATTGGCGTAGCTGGCGTCGATGTCACATTAGACGATATCGAACATGTCATCTCAAGTAAAAGTTGGGGAAGTGTCTACGGCTTTCTCGTTAATCGTCTTGATGGTGATGCAATTATCCATCCAGGTTTAAAATCTACAACCATTCCCATCGAAGATCCTATCTCGACACAAATTAAACAGCTGGAAATGTCAAATAATAAACCTGAAAAATTTCTCACTGATATTCTGCCATCGATGCTCCGAGGCGAAAAAGGCTCGCTGAGATTAGTAGACGCTTATCGAGCGACCATGCGACGAGGATTTGGTATGAAGTCATTTCATCACATTGCAATTGTTTGTATTCGTTGTTGTAGGTGTTGGAACATATTATTGGTCTCCGATTGAAAATACCGATTATGTCTTTGCGTATAGTTTAGGTGAATCAGATGAGAAATTTCGTGAAGTCCGACAACCAAAGGATTTATCGAATTATGAAGAAAGCTTCTTTAATCTTTTGATTGAATACAATAGTAGCAAAGGTCGAGAAGTTTTACCCGGCAAATTCGAGCATATGCAAGTGAAAATTAACGATCCGAAATATAAAGATTTACGTGTCAGCTATTTATATTCGTCGATTATGCTGGCACCACGTGTTTACTGTGATCCAAGCGAGTATTTCTATAATGATGATCTCGCACAAAAGACCATCAATGCGCATATTTATATTAATCAACGTGGCGATCCAAATGAAAACGATAAAGGTTGTGATGAAGCAAAAGTCATGTTTCACGAAAATACACGTGCTTATGTTTTAATCTCACAGCCAATCGAAAGAGTTTGGCGGGCGAGACCATCGGAATTAACGAAAGATATTATTTGGACGTATGTGGGGATGAGAACGGGTGTTTTTCGAACATATCCAGCACATCGATCAGTACGAGACTATGATCATACAACACGTGGATGGTATAAACGAGCCGTTTCGCTTCAAGATCGAACAACAGCATCAATGCCATATTTGGATTTAAGTGGAGGTGGAAAAGTTATCACCATAGCGCAAGTACTTTTTGAAGGTACGATTTCAGGATAAAGTTGTTTGGACTGATGGCTTCCTTTTTCTTCTTCAGGTATGCCATCAATATCGAATGAAACATGCCAACAAAAAGCGAAAGGTGGGTCTTCCGAACGAAAATTTCCTGGCGGTTGTCCATGTTCAAATGGTGCCGATTGCTTGTCTGGATACTGTTATCAAAGCGCAGCACCTGGACCTGAACATAAGCAACTGCGTTGTGCTACGGAACGAATTATTGGTGTTACAGCTACTGATATACGATATGATTCATTTCATTCGGAAATTATGAAACGTATGGTTGCCTCCGATGATCATCGGTCATGTGGTTCGAAGTATGCCTGTCCAGGAAATCAATCGAAAGAATGTTCAACACGTTGCTATCTCGTTGATCACGGCGGTTATCTAATTGTCGATCCTGACTTCGTTGATATACCTGCCATACATGAAAACCGTTACAATCAACTAACCCTCGGCCATAAAGAAGGCGAAGTCATGGCAGATTTGATATATACCCATCAATTATTTGATCGAGTTGAAACTATCACCTTTCAAGGGACATGCCATGTGACGAAACCGTCAGCGAAAGTCACATTAAAAGGTATACCAGCCAATCCCGAAGAATTAGATAACAAATACAAAAACAAAGGACCCATTCCACAATTCATCAACGAGTACGGTTGTATACAAGATCAAGTACGATATCGAATTAATCAAGCGAAATTAAAATGGTCGGAACTATTCATTGGTGAAGTCAACGGACCATGTATGAGTGGACAGTACTATGTCACACCATTAGTTAAAACAAATCTTATCCTCGTTGTTATCGAAAACTATTATGCGGAACAATCGAAGAACTTCTACAACTTCAATTGCAAAATCCAACGAAGTATCGTCGATGCTGGCGCATTTCGTATTATTAATGGTACATGTGCGCACAAAACAGAAAAACTAAGTAGTCTCTATGGCGAAAATAAATGTCCAGCGTTACGCGAAGTGGAAATCGAATGTAAATACAATCAAATGAACAGACCTCAACTCTCCCTCATTTTCATTTTTTCAATACTTCTATGTTACAAACTACTTTTCTAGTTAAATAAATTCTCTTGATATAAAAACCAACACATTCTACTTACTTTTCTACAACTTCACCACGTCTTTCTTTGGCGACCATGTCAAGCAACGTTTGTCTCAGATGATCTCGTATAGGTGCATAACGGACAACATTATCACGAAATAAGATTAAACCCAAATTATAAACAGGTTCGAGTTTTTGTGCGCTGACGTAAACTCTATCCATGTACATGAGTATATCACGTATCATAACCATAGCTGTTCGATGATCATTCCATGCTGAGTTTAAAGTTGATAGAAAGTTATTATTCAACGAATCAACGGCATCTTGTCGAACCTAAAAGTTTTCTTTCTCGAATACATTTTAAACGGAAATGGTTCGTCTTACTTTTTGTACAAGGTGCTCTGTAACAACATCACGTGTGCCTGTATACAATTTCTCTCCGTGTTTGTGTAGCACCATTGTATATGCATTTCGATAGAGTTCTTCAAAACTTAAACCACTGTTGTTTTTCTTTTGGATTTCTTGTATCGCTGTTTTTAACGATGTGTTCCAAATACTATTGATATAACGATCGTCGACGGAGGACTAAATTGAGAAGTTTAACGAATGGAACAAGAGAATTTTCTGGAGAATTTAACATACGAAGAATTGACGAATACGCATTCTTTTATTCGGATCTTCTACTTTAATGGATGGCTTACTCATAGTCTAAGAAATACATCAAAGTTCGTCAATGATAGAAAATCGTTGTGGCAAGCTTACTCTACCGATGGCAGTCCATGCAGTTTTGCACAGTCTAGACAACAAAAGATCATTGTATTAATAAGGAAATACACATCTTCGCTTACCAAATTGATAAATTGTTTAGATTTAAATCGAAATTATTGTCATTTCGCAAGGTGGATTCTATAAATTAGCGCGTTAAATCCAAACTCGACTGTATTCTTGTTCAATGTCGTATGGGAAAAGCTGCTGATGCCTCAAAGAAAACCGAATATGTTCTATGGTAGATTCTCAGCCAATAACTATTCGATAAGGTCCGTAATGCACTCTCTCCTTTTTCATTATCGACTTCACGAAATCACCTATCTACAGTACGATACCTTTCACATACGAAATATTCGATACAACATTTTCTTGTGTAGATGTCGCTAGTTTTCATTTAAGATTCGATTGACTGTTTCTTGTGAACCAATAATATAAACAATCTTTTGTTCACATTCACGTTTTGAAAATTTTCAAGACTAAGAGCACGTCAACATTGTTGTTCGATTCAACTTATAAACAATCAAGTTGCTGTTCTACTGTCTCTTCGTAACATGTAAGTGAAATGCCTGCGAAAATAAGGAAATCTTGACTATTCTAATGAAACCTTTTCTCTTCCGATGTTCACGAAAGCGGACATAGTTAGTTGCTAAGGCTTTGTATTAATCAGGATATGCTACCTAGACATAGATCAGCCAAATCGCGTAACTGATTCATGATTTCGTTGGAAGAGAAACTTTCAATTAGTTTTGTTCTCGTTTCCTGAATGGCGACTATTGTTTAATCAATGAGAACGAGTCGCATCGTGAAGAGCACGTTCAACTCCAAGACTTAAACTGCTGGAGCCATCATATTCAGTACGAAGAATCTCGTTATTTCAAGTATATCTGCTATTTATAAACATGTTTTGCTGTTTCATGTCGATGATTAAAACAAATTAATTTGAATAGAGAAAATCTGTACACTTGTATTGATCAAACATTAATAGAGATATTTATATGTAATAGATTACGATCATCTGTCGTAATTGATTGATTTTTCATAGGAGCACTTGAAATCTTATTAAGATTAACCGATAATATTGTTTTCCTTTTGTTAATGAGCGAAATGTAATCGATTAGAGACAAGATTTTGTAAGCTATTTTCTTCTATTATGAAAGTACAGGTACGATTTTCTTCTTGTTTATTACTGTTTCGACATCGTTTACATTCAAATAAGTGTCATGCTCGGTTGATTAATAAACGAATTGCTTGTCTATTAAGTATACGCATGTTTTTCTCTTTTTTTTCATAGATCTATCGTGTGTCAGATTTATTGTCGGCGATATTGTTTCTTTTTGTTACGGTTTCGATCAGTTTAGTAATATTTTTTTTTGCTGGATTTAATTGTGAAAAATATGAGTTGCAGGAACAAGTGGAGACGAAACGAGGGAAGACAAGTAAGAGTGCAAGTGGGCGCTCAAAGGAAAAAGAACAAGAAGAGGAAGAAGAAGAAGAAAAAAAAAAAGAAAACTGTCTGTCGTTACAAAAAAATCATGTCACCAAAGAAAAAGGAGAAGATGAGAAAAGAAAAGAAAGGAGAGATGATAAGTTCAAGACCCTATCATTCGCATCGAACTATTCTCATGAGAAAAGAAAGGAAGAGTCAAGTGTGCAGAGTGGAAATGCATGGTCTCGCTCTCTATCCCTCAAGGTTCTTGGCGTCATCAGGTCTCTTATTAAAAGAAAAGTCAATAAACTTGTCTTAGCTTCTTCTTCTTCTTCTTTTGTCGACGAGCTATTAGAAATTAATATACAGATGGATTCATCTAACAGTTACAATGCAATTCGAAGTCACATTGACCTCTTTTCATGTGCAACTGTATGAACACTGAAACTTAGAATGATATGAGAAGTGCTGCCAGTAAATTTTTACTTGTGCAATTTGACTATACATCCCTGTATGTCTACCTATCTACGTCATTTGTTCGAAATCACTCAAGCATAATACATACGGAGAAGGTGTCTCTTTTCTCCTCTTCTTCTTCTTCTGTCGTCGTCGTTCTGGTCGTTGTTACTGCCTTCTCTTCTTCTCCTTCTTCTTCGTGCTCTTGTCGTTTTTTCGGAGAAAATACATTACACGACGATGATAGTGATAACTGTGAACAGTGAGTATTGATACAAAGATTTTACGTCGAAAAAAGAGGAAGAAGAAAGGAGAAAACAACACTAATCAATGGTCATTCTGAACATTACATGTTGAAGATAGAAATTCGAATATGAAAATTGACTTGTTAGTTTCTAATGTTATTTTTTGTTCGGTATTTGAATATGCCGCTTCTATAACGCGAGCTTTGACAAATAGTGGCATGCTGCCTGTTTGTTTTCTTCTCGTTGTGATAGGTCTCCTTCTTGCTTTCTTTTTCTTTTCTTTTCTCATATGCTCTCAACTCCTTCTCGATCTCTTCTCCGATTCTTTTGTTGAAACGAACACACCGTGGCAGCAAAAAATTCTACGTATTATTAACACATCACCCTTTCTTCTTCTTTTTTTTCTTTTTTCTGTCCGTGTATGTATGTGTGTGTGTGTGTAAGGCAGCTTTTTTCTTCTTCTGTCATCAACATTGTTTGAACTACGTTGCTGTTTATTCGTTGGAGGAGAGACAATTTCTTTCTTGTTTATGAATGTATGAATGAAAGACAGGGAGAAAAAAGTCTAAACGAGGACAAATATATGTATGTATGTGCACATAAGTTTTTTTTATATATATATATTCATTCATCGAAGAAAAAGAAGAAGAAGAAAAAAAGTTATATTCTTGACAGAACAGGTCAGGCTAGTACCGCAATGTTATTTATCATTCTGTTTACATGCAAGTAATCGTATTGGATTTCTGCGACTCGCTCTGCTAACCTACACGAATAGATAGATGGATAGCTCTCTTACAAGACGACGATCGGCAGCTTGTTCCGGAGTATCAAATATTGTTTCTAGCAACTCGAACGTCTGATTCAACATATTGTCTCATAAAGACTACTTGATCTACGCCTCTTGTCCACTATATCTCACACTTGAGCAAGCAGACTCTATTGTCGTTAGAGTATATAGCAATAAGTATGTCGTAGTTGTCTTGTCCCTTGAGGGGAGCGTTTTTCCTCCGTTTTTTTCCTATGTTTGAATCATGATATATATCGACAAAGTGCTCTTGCCTGGTCAACTCTGCTCACTATACTTCTCTCTCTCTCCCGTTTTTTGCTACACACCTTGGGGAGTATGCCGGTATCTCATTGTCGTTTCATGCATGCATGCATTGCGAACACAAGCGTAAGATGCATATTCGGAAATGAACATGTTATTAAAGAAAAGAAAGTCTCTCTCTCTTTTTTTCCTTCGTTGTAAAACAGCTAGGCAGTCTTCCAGCGCTAGACTTTTCACACCTTGATACATCCATTCATTTTTAAAAAAAGAAATGGAACTATATACAATGATTGTTTGACTATGATGTGCAAGTATGGATTTTTCTTCTTTCTTTCTGCCTTGCTTTTCCTTTTCTTTTTCTTCTTTTTCTTCTTTTTTCCTTTGTTTCATTTGATTATTCTGCAGGAGTGTCAGTAGTACTGCTTCTGCTACTCTAGCAAAAAAAAAAAGAAGCTTCATGATGAGAAGAAGAAGAATGTTTTCCATCTTTTGCTCTTTCGCGTTCGGTACTACACTATCGGTTCTTTGTCTTGGTAAAGAAAGAAGCGACAAGAACGATAAAAGAGAAAACCCGAAGAAAAATAGAGACATTTCAGTGTGCGAACGGAGAACGAGCACAGTGAGCTATAGTAGAGATGTTGTTTTTTACGCATCTGTTATTGTTGTTGTTATTATTCTAGTTCGTCTTTCACGTGATGTGGACCGAGAATGCTGCTACTTTTTCTTTTTACTGTTCGTGTAATTTGCTCGAAGCATGAATGATGTTCAACGCACTCGTGCACATATACGTTCGTTCTTTATCGTCTTCTTCCTCTCCTTCTTTTCCTCGTTCTCTTTTCAGTTTGAACAGTTGTTGGATGTGTTTAGCAAACGAGTACGATGAATGGAAGAAGCGAATATGTGTGCGCGTGTGTATGTGTATGAGTGAGTGAGTGAGTGAGTGAGAAAGAGAGCGTACTATCGGACGGCAGATTGAGCGTAAGAGAGACAGAGAGCCAACCCATTATTTGTTCTTTTTTTGACATTTTTCTCCTCCTTCTCTTTCCATGGTATACGTACGTGAACGTGTCACGAATGTGTATACTTTTACTTGTTTGACATGAAGCAAAAACCACGAGAAAATCTCAAAATACGTTTTCATCACCGATTTCTTTTTGTATGTAGATTTCAGATTGGATTTGAATAGATGCAAATGATCTAGACGGATGAAAAATAACGCTAAAAAGGCCAAAACGGCTGCGTCAGTTTCCATAACTGCTACACAAGAACAAGGACCATCGTCTGTTGACAATAGTGGTATGTATCAGTTGGTCTTATCACAATCATCGATTTTTTTTCCTTAACAACAAATATATTCATTAGTTTTTAGTGAATAATGGGATGGACAGTGGAATATTACCTTCGGCAGCTATGTTATTACATACCAGCGAATCTCATCAACAAAATCCTCCATCAGATTCTCCCATGAATCAATATTCTGATATCTATGCACCAAGACCAGCAAATAATAAATCAAATAAGCGTAAACTAGATGAGTTGGGTGATCCATCGTCAGCCGAGTTCGCGTCATCGCCTTCTGTTAAACCACAAAAAACTGAACAGGCCGAGCCAGAACGTTCGCTAAGCAGGACAGGAACTCGTAAGTCACGCTAGATAACAAAGTTCCTCTTAATTCCCAATCTCTTTCTAAACAGCTCTATCTAACGGACCCTCAGGACGAAATGGCAGTGATATTGGTTCTGGATCGTACGAATTTGCTCCACCAACTCAGAATACTGGTCGTGCAACGCCAAATTCCTCGTTACTTACACGACAAACGCCCCCTCCACCGTCTTTACAGCAACAACAATCACATCCACCGCCGTCATCTTACATGTCAATGTCACCACGTAATCAATATACCGTAACCAGTGATAGTCCATTTTTACAAACAAATAACCAAGTGTTTGTATTCACAACACAATTAGCTAATGAGGCGGCAGAATCGGTATTGAAAAATGAGCATCCAAATATAATTGAATATCATAAATCTTTACCAACTACTGCTCAATATATATCAGTAAGTTAACATTCTGAACAAACGGATACATATTTGTAGTTAATAAAAATGTCATTTAGATGATTGAAAAACTCGAGGGAAATGTCTGTAATTGAGTGAGAAAAGAAGAAGAAAGGGGAAGAATAAGAAAACGATTAGATATCCCTTTGGAATCTCTTCAGTAATCAATAGAGAGTTTATTCTTTTTCTTTTAGACTCTTTCAAATAACAACCATAATTCACTACTTGGTGGACCAATTCATATGAATCCACGAACCGGGTGTCCTTCACCACGATCTATGCAAATGATGATGCCTGGTCCACCACATCACAGTCCTCACATACCACTTCATAATGGTAATAATGGTCCACCACCAAACTGGCCACATCCACATTATCATCAACAGCAACCACCATTTGGTCGTTTAACGCCCGGTTCTGGTGGTTTACCTCCACCAAGTCATCTTCTGCCACCAGGTCCGATGATGATGAATGGCTCACCGCCACCGCCTGGCATGCGTATGGGTGGAATGCCGCCTATGCCAGGCATGGGACAACCATCGCCGGATAGTATTGATAATTTAACACCTGAACGAATCAAACATCGAAAGAACCAGTTAGATAAGATACAGGAGATCAAATCAAAAATCACTGGTGGACGCGGTCGTGGTGGAAGAGGCAAAGCGAATGCTGCCGCTGTTGCCAATATGCCACCTTCGATGAACGGTGGTCCACTTGATCCGCATCAGCAGCAAATGATGATGATGAACAGTCCGCACAGTATTGGTCCACCACACCATATGATGGGAATTGGACCGCCACCACCTCCTCATATGCTACCGCCAGGTATGAGAGGACCTGATGGAATGATGCTTGACATGAATGGCGCACCACCGCTACCACATGGCTATATGAATGGACCGATGCCACCTGGCTTTCATGGACAGTTTGGACCCGGTCCTGGCGATTCATACGGACCACTACCTCCACACCATCCACAGTCGCAAGCTGTCAGAGATTGGAATAGAATGCAAATAGAACATCTCGAAGGAAAAGCTCATCAAATGCGTGGACATCCACCACCATATTGTCCAACGTCACCATCATCGATGACGCCACCGATTGCATCAACGTCAATGGGTGGTAGTTTAGGAGTGAATGGTAAATTGATATCACCTCGAATGGATCCGTCCGCCATGCCACGACTATATAAAGTTGGTCAACCAGAAAAATTCATTCCAGATTCTTTACCATCAGGAAACAAGAAACTACCTGGCGATGTCGGTGAAGTACAACTAACAGCATCGCCAACACAAATGGATTACAATGAATTCGGTATGATCGAGAATGTTTCATCCGATATCGTCTATGAACTCTTTCTTCTTTTCTCTCATCTCTAGGTATGGAAGGTGAAGAGTTGATAATTACTAGACATTTGAATCGAGCTTATCGGCCAGGCAACGGAACAAGCGGCGGACCTGGCTCATCTTCATCATGTAAAGATGAACCATTGACACCATCGGGACGTTCAAATTCAACACCGCACAACAATTCTAATGTTTTACCATCAGGACAACCATCCTCTCAGCAACAGCAACAGCAGCAGCAACTATCCGGTTCAACCACGCCTACACATCATCCACAAGGAATGATACCACAGAGTGTTCCTGCTGCTTCGCCACGTTCATCAAAATTAACAAGCAACAATAACCTGTCATCTCCATTAATGATGTCAAATACAAACTCAGCCAAAGATGAACCCTTAGATATCAATAGTGATCCGAAAACGCCAACATCAAATATGGCACCACCTCTAAGTAGTATGCTTCAGATGGCCAACAGTCTACAATCATCCAGTTCTCCATACAATCCATCAAGTAATCAGAGCTCTAAACAATCAATGAACAGCCCGAGCCTGCCACACATGTCCAAATCAATGGATCATGCGAATATGCCACCACAACATATGCAGTTTCAGGTATATGGTTTCTCTCTATATCGTTCACTCCAGTCACTAATAAGTATTCTCTGCATTTAGAATATGAATCCTCATCATCGTATGTTAGGACCGCCGGATTCGATGCCACCTCATTTCAATCCACATCATCCTGGTAATTTTCCACCGCCACATCCACACATGTACAAAATGATGCCTCCACATCCCGGCATGGATCCAAATGGAATGCTAATGCCACATCATGGCGGTCCAACACGTTCATCAAAAGGCTTACCACCTCTGCCACCATCATCCGATCCAATGCAACAACATCTTCATCATTTACCTCCTCCACATTATCTTAAAATGCATAATATGGATCCACTACTCGGACCACCACCTGGTCATCAACAACAGCATATGCGTTTTTCGCCGATGATGGACGATAATTTTGCTATGGGACCACCACCTCATCATTCTCACATGCATCCACATATGCATCCTTCTCATCATCCAATGCATGCCAACGATGGCAGACTACCTCCTCCACCACAATCAATAAATAATACCTACGTGTCTGCAACAATGTCTATTCAACAGTTAAACATTCAAAATCTAGGCCCCGGAGGACCACCGGGTGAACTCCCGCCAGGTACAATTCACTATCATGCATCATCGGGAAATCTACCTGATCTTCAACAACAATACCCACCAAGTGATCCACAGTTTGCCTCGCAGTTCAATGATCTACAAGCACCACCATCAAATCTCAGTGTCGATGGTGGTCAACCACCACCATATTGGTGATCTTCAAAATCAAAAGAATAACATGTATCTCACGTTGTTTGTGAGCACACGTTTCTTTTCCTCTCTTTTTCTCTTGATTATTTATCTCCTATTTTCTAATTTACGCCTGTACAAACAAAGAATCTCTCTTTTCTTTTTGCTCATCGGGCTCGACTAATTGTATTTTTTCTTTCGTTTTTCTCTTTCTTTCTGTTGTTATTATTGATGTTGTTCTCCTCTATTTTTTTTTCTCGTACATTACACTTACGGACATACGTATACACACGATGTCTTGCTCTTATTTGTCATATGTGTGTTATTAATTATTAAAAAACCAAACACCGTCTGTTGCCTTCTGGTTCTGTTTGAACAAAAGAAAAAAAAGCGAAGTTTTCTTTTTCTTTTTCTTTCTTCTTTTTTATGTGTGTGATATGAACAATTAATAATAGAATTTATAAAAACAATGAGATGACAAAATCAAATGTCTACATGTCATTTTTAGATTTCATTCTTGCGTTGTACATAATGACGGCAAATACACAAGGTACAAACTGTGTCTTGTCCAATAGAAAATTTCACAACGCACACAGTTGCGATGTCAATTCTCGATGAAATAGAATCGTATGATATATATTACTCGATTTCACGTCATTCCACTCAGTTCAAAGAATGAAATCGCTTTTGCTTTTGAGACGGTTGTTCGCACATTGTGTTTCCCTTAACGGCTTTATCTTCTTTGCTCTCGACCGTATAAAAGAAAATGTCACAGTCATTTATTCTCTATTTATCTATTTTCAAGATTCTGTTTTGATGACTTTATCACATGAAACAAGAATGACTACGGAAACGGAATTGATCTTTTCACCAGAGCGTACATCAAATAGTTCCTTTCATGTATTCTCGAGCAAAAAAGTAGGAAAACAACAAAATCAACTAGGATGCATTGATGATTGAAATACTTTTCAGATCAGTCGTCGAAGAATTCCAATAAATCAACCACCAAAACCTGTTTCATGTCGTGTTTATCGATATTTCACACCGGCTGCTACTCGTGTAGCAAATGCGGTTTCAGTTAGCTCGAAAACATTTGGTGTTGGTATGTTTGTACCGTTAAACTCATTCCATACCTATTCATCCTGTTGTTTCAGCTTTGGAAAGCCCATTTTATACAAAAACTATTGCATCGACGTATTGGGATCAATGCTTTGAACATCTTGAATGCCTCGGCCGTGGTTCATTTGCTGAAGTAAGTTCGGAACGAAGGATTTCAGTCTGACGCCAAACCCTTCAGTCGCGTGACAAACACTCGAGATTTAATTAATATCGAGTATTTCGATTACTTTCCTTCGAAGAAAGTATAACATTTCAATTAAGAATAATTGGCGTGTGTTATACACGAAGTACTCGATGAATTCTTTTCCAGCTGGATATTTTTATTTTTGATTCATTCAGGTTTACAAAGTTCGCCATAAAGAAGATGATCAATTGTATGCAATTAAACGTTCATTAACGAAATTCCGTGGCAAATCAGATCGGTAAGATTTCACTCAGGAATAGTTGCCTCGTATGAACAACATATGTCAATCATTTTTTAGTGATCAAAAGTTGAAAGAAGTTCGTTTCCATGAAACATTGGCAACTCATCAGAATATTCTGAAAATTATTCATGCATGGGAAGAACGCGAACGTTTATATATTCAAACTGAACTTTGTCGTGGCAAGTAAGTGAACAACAAATATTCAATGCTCGAAAGGTCAATTTCTCTGTTAAGCTTACTCGAATATGCCGCCGAACATCAAATTACACAACCAATGGTCTGGCATTTCCTGTATCAAACGAGTCAAGTACGAATAAAGATTTCTCAGTTGGTATTTTTACAAGAGAATTCATCCTTTAGGCGTTAGATTTTCTTCACTCATTGTTTTATGTTCACATGGATGTATGTATTCATATTTTTTACCGATCAAGAAAATAATCTTTCTTTTTAATGGTAGGTTAAACCTGAAAACATACTGATAACTAATGATGGAATCCTTAAATTATGTGATTTTGGTATTGTACATGATCTGCGAAGTGTAATGCGTTTTGATTTCCTTCGAAGAGAAACGAACAGTTATCTTTTTTATATTTCAGCCTTCAACGTTAGCACAGGATGGCGATGCGCGTTATCTGGCATTTGAAGTTCTCTCAGGGATGGTTTCACCGGCTGCCGACGTCTTCAGTCTAGGCTTAGCAGCGTTGGAACTAGTCAGTGATTATGATATGCCTATTAATGGTGATGTTTGGACAGATATCCGAGAACTACGATTGCCTAATGAAATCGTGTCGGTCTTAACTGATCTCGAACTGAAAGAACTTCTTTTTCGAATGATCCATTCGAATTATCAATCGCGACCAACAGCGAAGCAAGTACTCGACAGTCCTACAATTCGAGAAGAAGTAATAATCAAAACTAATTGTATATTCTTTTAAGTTGTAATTTGTCTAGATTTGCAAAATGATTTCGCCATTTGCATTCGATCAACAACGACACGAACGGGTACATTTAGAGAAAACAATATACTTGTTTATTTTCATTAGTTTTTCAGACACTATCACCCATGCATGAAAGCGATTCACTGATTAGTCATGGTTGTCGGACGCCCATTAAAAAAGCCAAACGACCACCAAATTACGGTGGTTATCATGACGAACATTCGGATGGTGAGAGTAAAACTAATCGTTCCATTGTTTCTATATCCATGCACGTTTAGATGAAATGAAACAACTCTCGATTCATGACCATTCTCAACTGTAAGTGATTGTTGAAGAACTAGAAGGAAAATTCACGAATTAGTTGGCTTTGTTATTGCCTAGAACACCACCACCACCACCGGTTACTGGTGATCCACTTCGTATTCGTCTTTTTCCAACTGATTCCGATGACGAAACTAATGAAAACCATGTGTACCTGTAAGTAGTGCTCTCGTTCATCGTAATCAGACGTTTAACTTATTGACTTCAGTCGAAAATCGCCACTGAAATTCAAATTCGATAGTAGTAGCGGTGCTGAAGATTGAATCAACGAATGAAATCGACGACAACTTCACATCTCTCCTTTCTCCGGTGTTTATTTGCCTTATCTATGTCAGATTACAATCCAAATGATCCACTGTTCCATATTAGTCAATCTTGATTTTTTTTGTTCGTATTGTATTGTTGTTACTGTTTATTAAGAAAAAGTGAAAATATACATTAACAAGAAAACCTGTTCTCGTAAACACGCAGTTGGACTCGCAAGTTGTTTGACCTTTGTTCTATTATGTGAAAACATCGATTAAATTAATAGCAATTCATTCTCTGCAATACTTGCTTTACTGAATTGCACAGAAAATTATTCGAATTTGATATATTACAGATGGAAACCTTTTCATCACTGTCAAAAATAATAACTATCACTCATATATGTCCATATACTCTGTATATCTCAGAAGATGACATAATTTGGTTTCCACATGACATTTCTTATGCATCTATCAGATGACTTTGATCAGAAATCATGCACATAAACAACTTAATAGTGCGTAATATACCTTTGTCACTCATTGCTTCTTCTTCATTGTCACTTCACATCTACAGGGTAATAGTAATACTCACTGTCGATAGGTAATTACCAAGCGACCGCCTACCCTGAGTTACACATGATTGCCTCGTAATGACGAAACTATGACATATTTTTCAGGGATATTTCGCTGATATGATACATTAGTAACAGGCGCAAGTATGTATTACTACACGGAGATTTTTTTTGTTTCATTGTGATGTCTGCCAGAGTCCTCTATCGGTTAAATAAATTAGAACTAAAACGTTGGAGTTATTTTCCAAACAAATGAAAAATCTGTTTATATTTCAACGTCATTTCTCGTGACGTTTTTTTTCATGACGTCATTAACGTAGATCACAAGATTCTGTGATATAGCCGTCAAGAAGAAAATTCCTCCAATCCACACTCGTTGCTTTGTTGCGCGTCTTCTTGATTGAGTTCGTTCTTTTTCTCATCTCCCTAGTTTTTTCTTTTTGCACCCACTGACGTTCCAAAGGAAAAACAACGACGGGAAATCCTTTTTTCTCGTTCTGACTACTAATACTCCAAAGTCTGTCAGCATTTATTTACTTGTGTCACATTCCCTTCCGAACATATTATTTATCGTGGAGATATATTCTAGATAAGAAAAAAAACGCTTTATTGTCTATTTTTTTTCAAATAAACTAATAGAGTGGCTTTCTTCTGCGAACCAACGTTCTCGGGTGGTAAGTTGAATTGAATGACGTCGACGAAGATCGAAGTTGTGCTCTTTTAGATTGGATGTTTTTAAGTTTCTGGTCAACGCTCTTTAAAAATCAGCGTCATGCTATGCCCATCGTTGTTTGAATACATTGAAAGTAAGTTCGGCATTGATTTGACTTTTCATCTAGTCGTCTATCTTTCGTCGTAGATTCACTCGGCTTTGCCTTCAGCTATACCTACTGGTATTCATACTATTGGTTGTATGGCACAGATTATAAACACGTAAGTGACAACCGATCAGAAACGAAAAACAAAATCATCGACGTGATGTTTTCTCTTTCAGTTCGAATTCAGCTGATTATCAACCGATGATTCGATCGACAACGCCATCCGAAGATGAAGATCACTTTCTCACCCCATCTTCGGATATCAATTTCTCTCAACTGAACGGCGTTGTTCATCCATTTACTAGTATAGAAATAAATCCGAACGATGATGATTCAGTCAACACAGATGATTTATCGCAACCGACTACACATATTATTCATCAATATGAAACATACCTCAATTTAAGTACATCAAGCAGTGAAACAAGTCTTGCGCGACCACTTCTCAATGGAAAAACATTCTCAACTCCTCTCTACACCGAAAATGTGAAAATCAAGTCCCCGACTGATTCGACCCATCCGTTGAAAACCAATTACTATTCATTCATCAAAATCTATTTCGTGGATATGCTTATGTCAGCATTCATCATAACACCGCTCGTTAACATACATTGGCGCGGAGCATGGGATCTACTTGATATATATCTTTTACCTGAACATCCACATACAAGCGCAGTTGTTTCACTAGCTATCGGTCTTGTCGTTCTTTATTTGATGTATCTTATGCAAAATTTCCTCCAAAACTTCTATGAAAAACACCGTAAAAATCTTCGCGGACAGATCATAGCAAGACTCTATACACTAGTCGTGGCATTCGCATACATTAATCAATGGCGTGGCCTGTGGAACTTATTGGATTTAACAAGTAACAGCTGGTATCGACTGACCATCGAGACGCTCGTCAGTATTGTCGTACTTTTATGTATGAAAGCAATTTATAATCTTAATTCCGCACCATTTTTAATCGCTACGGATACCGAACATTATTTTCTGGTCGATTCGAAATTTGTTGTTTCGGTAAGTTCACATAGGTTTTAACCGAAATATATTCGGCTTGTTCCTCTAGACGCGTCGATTTTGGCAATACACATGCGATTTTACTGTTTATGAACTCGTCGAAGCTCCGTTCATTGTCATTGCCTGGCGCGGTTTGTACAACCTCTCAGATATCTATATCTATCCAGATAACAAGACGATGTCAATATTAATCTCATTTGCAATTGGTTATTCCTTGTTTTTCATTCTTGCACTTCTACAATTACCATTAATTCAATGCTTTACGAAGAAAACTCCTCAAATACTCTACACAATTCTTTCAAATGTTTTTCATTTGATGGCATTTGTTAGTGTCGTGCAAATTTGGCGCAGCCTGTGGCTGATATGTGAACAATATATTAACATACCTGGTTATCACCATTCAACACTCTGGCTTTGCTACGTTGCCGCGTTTATCGTATTGACATGCATTTTTACAGCATGTTCATTGAACGGGCCGGCGGGAGCGAAGGAAAGTTACATGGATGATCAACCAGTTTTTCTCTTCAAATTTGATTATTTTTCAACTCTACTGAAAGTAAGCAAGGAACGTTTTGGTGGCTAAACTAACATTTTGCTTTTTGTAGAAACAATCAGATCGATTGAAAAGCCAAAAAGCGACTCATCTTGGTTCCGACTTATCATCAACAGAAACGATCGTATCGCACGAATCACCTTATCGTTTCAAGCCTCCCTAATGACTGTTACCGGCAATGTTCATGTTCACTTCCATACCGTAAGCTTAGCCGCTTTTGTTGTTCACCATTAATCAAAACCCTTCGATCATCTGGTTTTATTCAAGATTAATGTCATTCCTCTCCGCATAATCTCTGGTCTTTATTAATATTGTTGTTGTTCACTTTTCTCTCTCACACGAAAAACTAGGTTTTTCTTCATCTTGTTGTTGTTGTTATTATTATTATTATTATTATTACTGATCGTTGTTAGTAGTATTCTCTCTTTTGAATTCATTGAAGTAGATGTATGAGAAAATTAGATATTCATCTGCTTGTTCTCTTTGCATGTATTGATTTCAATTTCGATGTGTAATTGATTGTTTGAAATAAAATGAAACGAATTCAGTTAAACAAACTTCATTCTGTCTTACATACGATAGAAGAACATTCTGCACAGAAGACTTTTACTGATATGGGCCTACCATGTAAGCACTTGAATTGATTATCAGACAGCGAAAGAGTAGAACTTTTCAACTCAATATTTCGGCTTGAGTCGAATTTCGTCAAGAGAGAGAGATAAGATATGACGAAACAAGAGAAATATTTTCCTCCAGGGGACGATTTTCAAGGCTATTTTGTCAAGGGCATCATATCAAGGACGTTGTTTCAAGGAGGTTCTATATTCTATTGATGTGAAGTATGTCGAGTTGATCAAAATGCTAATGAACAGATCACTTCAAGTCTTACTTTACAGCTGAATATTAATTTTCAGCGAAAACAAATCCTGAAGAACATGTTGATCTCTGAACGAGACTCCAGTCCGAACTTGTTCTATTCTAAGAGATTTGATAGAACCAGAAAACAAAGGTCACATCGCTGAGTGCGTAATCAATTAAAGTACTAACGGAAATTTTCCGAAAAGAATAACGAATGAATGAAAACAACTGGCGACCTCGTATGTTCAATGAATTGACTGGCTCACACAATGAACGGTCGAACCGCGCGTCTTTGTCCGTTCGTTCGTTCGCATTTGCACGAAATCAAATCAATCAGTTGAATACCATCTCAATAATCATGTATGAAAAACCAAGAACAACTCAATTTCGAGCAACAAAAATGGTATTTATTTCACGTATTACATTCTCGCCTTTCGAAAATTTGTGTTTTCTAGTGGAATAATCTTGTTCAAAACTTTCGTTCATCGATCAAATTGAAAAAGAAACGTCACTTCTTCAAAACATATCAAAATTGTTTTTCATCATCAGATGCCATCACATGTATGTTAGAGATTTTACAACAACAAGCGTCGGGTAGTGAAAGTAGTTCGTCGGTTACACGGTAAGTACAAAATATCTTTCGAGCAATGTGATTCGATCTTTTCTTTTTTTTTTCTCTTTTATTCACACAGAACACAAGCCATGACTATTCTTCAATCACTGTACAATGCCAAGATCTTTTCTGATATCAAAGAAGATTCTAGTCGAACAGGTGCCAATGATCCCAAGCAATTTTTAGATAATAATAAAATTTTCAAGTAATTCATTTCGTTGTTTGTGTTCCTATTTAACAAGAATTTTCATTTAGACTTTTACCACAAACAGAAGAGAATATTTTACCAACAGTTACAGCATTCGATGATACGAAATCACTGGGCACACCTGCGAATAACGAAACTAAAGCATCGTTTTCCCCTTCATCAGTCTTGGAACTGATGTACGCGTTTGCTCGACAGAAACGTAAACAAAGTTCGATGAGTTTGTTTAAACCCTGATCACTGGCTAACCCCCGACATAGTGTATATAGATAGGATTACTACGTTGTTTCTTCGATGGTTTCTTGTTTTTTTTTTGTTTCTTAATAATAATAATAAAGAAAATCGATAGAAGATGTGATTTGAAATCGATTGCTGTTTTCGCCTTTTTTCTCACGTCAGTTTTTAATCGATTGAACAAGTTATTTCCGTCTTAGACAATACACATATACTCAGGAAGTTGTTCGTTGAAGAAGCAATGAAAAAAAATCATACACATCTTTCTTCGATGGTGGGCGTTAAAGTTCTTGGATAAATAAAGCAAAACTTCCGACCTAATATTACCCAGCGCGTAGACTTGATAGAAGTTGACTATTATTTGTTCATCAGAACGTCGTTTACCGCCTGCTCAACTGACAAATGTATTTTTCTCTCACTCTCTCTTCCTATTGAAAACAACACGTCTTTCTTTGACTATTAGAAATTGGCATCTAATCAACAGAGCACAGCGCGAGAAAGAAATAACGATGAATTTTAATCGGTTTTCTCTCTGAGTTCGTCATCTTATTGTTGTCATAAGAAAAAAATGTTCAAGTATGTGAGCAAGCATACGATAAATGAGTGCATAAGAGAGAAAAACTCGAGTTGTTTCTTGCTTATCCAGGATGTTTGATCAACGACGCAGTAGCGAGAAAAACGACATCGAAGGAAAAATCCAATCAACATTAGATTGATTCATCGGTTTCATCAACATGGATAAAGGCTTGGGCACATTGTATAATAAGCTATCGAATCTTTTTCATCCTAATTCAGCGACGTCAACAACGTCTTCTTCAGTGCCATCATCATCGTCTGCACCTGAAGCCAATTCATTATCAACATTCTTTGATCGAATAGTTCCATCACCAGGCGAACAACGTCGTGCCACTTCTCGAGTCGTTCGACAAATCTCAATCAAAGCAAACGATATGTCGAAACGCGAAAAGTAAGACTCGTTCGTTTGAACTGAAATGCATCTAATGACGAAGAAAATCAGATCCAGATAGGCGAAAATCTGTTGATGATTACGAAAAAAGGAGAAACGAACGTCATTCATCTCCCCTACTTTACACATATTGCAATCGACGAGATGATTGAAGTCGCACAAGTAACACTTTCTCTCTCCTATCATAATCAGCAACAAAGTCCGATACCAAGACGATGCTTGATGAGAAAGTCGTTCGTTTATCCGATTTTATCCAACAAATTCCTAATTTTCTCCCTATTTTGAATAGTTCCATCAAAGATAAGCATGCTGATCTACTCAAAAGTCCGTCTCCATTACCAAATGAATCTACTATGTCAGTGCCAGGTATGGATGATGCGGAGTTTCGACGTCGAGGGAAGGAAATGATTGATTACATTGCCGATTATCTGAAAAACATCAAGTAATGCTCCGAAAAAGTATAAAAAACGAAATAGACATTTGATTCACTCGTAGTGACCGTCGAGTGACACCCGAAGTCGAACCAGGTTACCTACGACCAATGTTACCCAAGAATGCACCAGAAAAGAGTGAAAAGTGGGATGATATCATGAAAGATCTGGAAAGAACTATCATGCCTGGCATCACTCATTGGCAACATCCACGTTTTCACGCATATTTCCCAGCTGGTAATAGTTATCCATCCATACTGGGTGACATGCTATCGTCTGGCCTTGGAATTGTTGGGTTTTCGTGGGCAGCAAGTCCGGCTTGTACCGAGTTGGAAACAATCATGCTCGATTGGATCGGTAGGATATGAGCGTCACGTCGCTTAATGCAAAGTCCTCATTTACTTGTCTCTTAGGTCGTATGATGGCATTACCGGTCGGTTTTCTTCCATTCGACCCGAAACGTGATAATAAAGACAGTGATGATGAAGAGGAGGAAGAAGAAGAAGAGGAAGAGGAATTGTCACCTGAAAGTGATGAAGAATCCAGCGGAGATAACCTACATGAAACAATGAGCAATGGTCACGGACAAAAGCAAACGCGACACATCGGTGGTGGCGTACTACTCGTAAGCTGATCATTGAAATCTTCAGAAAAGAACTTTCTCTTTGTCAAATCTCAAAAATCAATTAAACATTTTAGGGTTCGGCAAGTGAATGTATTCTCGTGGCAATGTTAGCTGCACGTACAAAGAAAATCACCAGTAAACGTCAAGCCGATCCACTTATGGAAGATGGTCAAATTCTCGCTCGATTGGTTTGCTACACGTCAAAACTGGTAGGTTTTTGAATAGAATGCCAGTATAATGGATTACCGTTGATTGTTTTTCAGGCACATTCATGCGTAGAAAAAGCCGGTCTTATCGCAATGGTTCGTGTACGACAATTAGCTGTGGATGAACATTTTTCACTGCGTGGTAAAACATTAGAAGAATGTATTCGAGCTGATAAAGAAAAAGGATTAATACCATTTCTGGTTTGTAATCTCTGTTCCGTCAAGTCAAACTTGAAGATGTTGTTTTTGCTTTCCACTAGGTTTCGGGCACAGTGGGAACAACTTCGTGTTGTTCGTATGATAATTTAGAAGAGATTGGTGAAATATGTCAACGTGAAAAACTCTGGTTTCATGTCGACGGTGCCTATGCTGGCAGTGCTTTTCTCTGTGAAGAACATCGATACATTATGAAAGGTTTACATGTAAGATTTGTAGCTGATTTGTGACAGTAGAATCGTATTCTTATATTTTAGTATGCAGATTCTTTCAATACCAATCCAAATAAATGGTTACTGATGAATTTCGATTGTTCATGTTTTTGGTATGTGATAAAAGTTCATTTGTTTGATTTTTGAAAGGATTCTTTTATTTTTAACAAAAGGGTTCGAGATAAATTTGCGCTGATTAACGCTATGTCCGTAGATCCACTCTACCTTCAACATAAACATGCACAGAAAGCAGTAGATTACCGAGTAAGTGAACTGATTTGCTACGGAAAGTAAATCGAACCAAACCTACTGATTGTAGCATTGGGGTGTTGCGCTGAGTCGTCGATTTCGTTCCCTTAAACTTTGGTTTACGATTCGTAGTTATGGTATTGAAGGTCTTCGTCATTATATCCGAGAAGTACTGTTTCGTCTTTCACCAATGGTTTTAATCTATGATTTGTTTACTTTTTTTTAGCATTGTCGGCTGGCCAAAGTCTTTGCTTCGTTGATCAGCACCGATAATCGGTTTGAGATCATTGGTGGTGTGACATTGGGTCTCGTTTGTTTTCGTCTAAAAGTGCGCAACCATTGATTTTCTCGTTCAAATCTTTCTTTTACGGACTCGACTAATTCTAGGGCAGTAATAAGCTAAGTCAAAAGTTACTTTTATCATTGAATGATTCTGGCTGTATCCATATGGTACCATCGATGGTCAATGATATCTATATCATTCGCTTTGCTGTTTGTGCCAAATACGCCACTGACGACGACATGCACGTGGCATTTCGCATAATTCAAGAACACGCAAATGATGTTTTAGAAGAATATCGTGCCCAGCGCAATGGTCGGCATTCATCATCAAATGATTCGCTTGACGCAAATACAAAACAAAACGCTGCCATAACGAATACTGAACATGATACAGCTGTATCAGAAGAAACTGGTGATCCGGAGGTATTACCAGAAACACCAGTTGCTCCGACTACTTTTTCACCGACGAAAGCTCGAGTAAATTAGCGAGGTCGAGTTGATATCGAAGTAAAAACGTCTTTATTGATGATTTTAGGCTAATACAATAACAACAATGACTCCACATCATCGTGTAACATTTGAAAAGCCAGTGTCGAATCTGCTGAAAGACAAACGATCACGACCAATGTTTGTTCGCATGGTCTCGGACGCGAAATTGTACTATCCGAAACGAACTATCTCTCAATTAGCACGACAATCATCATTAGCAACACCTCGAGCACGCAAACGAATCCAAAGCGATTCGGGCAACCACGCGACAAGATCCTCAAGTGAAAAATACCTATCTCGCACGGTAAGTATTTTGGAAACAGTCAATTCTGACGAAGGCGAACTTGATGATAAACAATGAAGTCATCCAATCAAGTGAGATTGATTTAACCTTGGTGAATGGATGGTACGGTGATCTCACTGATTTATTTTATTTATCTAAATGTTGTTTGTCAAATGAATATATACATATATTTATTTTCCATATTGTCTGTTTGTGTTCGTCGTAACTACTCGATGTTTTCATTGTATACAATAAAATCAGTTGTTCTTTACAAATATTTATTCACGATTTGAAAATCAGTTTCTTTGTTCTATTTATCAGAAGGTATTAACCGGATGTCAATACGCATTCCTACTCATTCGAAGTATTTCCAAAATTGAGATTAATCCAGTGAGCTATGCATGTATGGCATAATTTAATAATTGATGATGGTTTCATCATCTCCAATAGTCTTTTCTAAACACGAATTCAATTATTTCCTGATAATCTGCATTTTTATTATTTATTATGACATAGATCAGCTTGACGAGGAGAACTTCGATATCGATCGAGTCTATCATCCAGTGATCAGTGACAATAGAACGAAGAAAAGCATATTCCCTTGTGAAATTCTATCGATACACTTCTTACTCGCTGAGGATATGTTTTATATCAAACAAATAGTAATCGACATAATCTCCGTATAACATTCAAATGTGTCGTTATTCATCTGCGTAGACCCTGACTACTCAGACGGTTATTCGACTTTGTAATGTATTTCCTTCCGTGATTTAGTCTTGCAAAAAGGTACTCACTTCATCGAGTTTCATGCGATCGTCATATAAGCAAGTTCCCTGGTGAATCTTTTCGGTTAAAATTCGAGTGAAACTTGTTCGAGATGACTTGCAAGTCAATCGTAACGTCTAATCATAGTGAACTTTCTCGATCTGTTATTTATGGACTTTTGCTAGCGACGTTATTTTGTTGCTCTTATCAAGATATGTCAGATCAAAAAAGATATGGAATCAATTATACATCTCGTCAGTGGATAGTTCTTCTGACTTCTTAAGTAGAAACAAGCATTGTAAATAGAGAAGAGAATATTGCACGATAGAAATAAAATCAAACGAATGAGATAGCCGATGTTTTTATGTACGTGACTATGATGATGATGAGATCTTTCTTCCGAGAATAATTATCGTCATTCGTCGTCGCTAATAGAACAAAAGAAAGGCGAAGAAGAAGAGGAGAAGAAGAACTTAGTTGCCGAAAAAAAATCTCATCATCGTTCTTTTAGCTATTTGTTCATACTTCCTCTGAGACAATCTCATCTTGTGTGTCTGCCTAGCTTATAGAATACGAGAGCAAATAGATGTGTATTTGACTATCTTTGAATAAGTTATTTTACATCGACTAGCATTCTTTTTCTTAATGATAAACATTCGTGTATTTCTGTCCGTAGATTTCTACCCATGATCATCAATTCAACGATTCCGATAGGCAATCAATCAATAATCTAGAAGAATTTCCAGCATGGATGATGAAGCCATCAAAAATAATTATACAGAACAGGTAAAAAGAAACACTTGTGTAATGTGTAAATCAGCAGATAGGACACGACTTGTCTTTTTCGCCATTTTGTCAACAAGTGATTTAACGGTTCATTTAACCGCATATGATTACATTGAAAGAGTCGTTTGATGTATTCTTATCTCATTTCGAGACATTTTTATGTATATGTGTGTTAACCATCAAAGAAATGACATCCGAATGTTAGGTATCGTTTCATATGAAATCTGATCTTCTCTTTCTTATTCTTGAATTTATTATGATTAGATAGACGAGATGAAAAAACTAACGTACGAATCGAACATTACAATGCATGATTAAGCATCCACACAAGATGAAATAACAAGAAGAAGAAATCGTACGATGTTTGATGAATGTCAGTGAAGCTAAGGCCAGGCATTGTCGCATGAAAATCTGACGAAGAAAAGCTTTCTCTTCCTTTCGCAATACTTCAATTCGATCATCATCAGGAACTAGTTGCTCAGGCTAAAATCAAGATTTAATAGACGTTTTGTGACAAGATTAATTTGAACATATTAAATTAGAAATCGAACGAGATTTCGTGATATCATCTCCAATTGACAATGCCAAATATATGACCACAGAGCTGACATCACTGATTTGCTTTTCTTGGAAGCCAGAAATAGAAGTACATTTTCTTCACACTAGTCTTCGTGCTTTATGAAATGCACTACTAGATATTGTCTCGATAGCCTTTCTAAGTAATCTATCGTACTAATCGATAAAAATAATAAACAAATTATACAGAAACATTTGGCATGTTGAGAGTGCCACTCTAGTGATGCGCTTTGCCAAATAAATGACTTGCATAGATATGTCCATAATTAGAGATAAAGGATGGTAAACATTTGAACTCATCTACCTAAGTAGTGCCTGAAGAGGGGGGAAAACAATGCATTTCCTGTGTGTGTGTATGGTACTAAAGTGAAAGAAAAACAGTAACAGTTGATCACAATTGACTAAGATAGATATGATATCATTCGTCGTCTATTCGGTGATTTGTTCGTTGTTGAATTCTTTCAGTTTCTAATGATGGTAAGTCGTTTATAAACAAGGGATTATTCATCAAGATATGTTTTTCTAATGATTTGAATGTTCGAGTAAAATCGCATGTCGTCGTTCACTTTTTTGCTTTTGCCATAAAATAAATCTCGGTAAATTTCTTTTTCTACGACTTCGACTTGTCAAGTGAAAAGTGACTTTTTGACACAAAAATGGCTGAATGTGCTCGTGATTTTCTGTTCGGTGTATGCATGATGACAGTGAGTGAAATAATTGAAAGTTTTCCCTCGTGAAGTGCTTGTCGGTGGTGGAGCAAATCAGTTTGATATTGTTTGCTTGAGAAAGTCCGCCTAATGGTTTCCATTTTTCTTCATTTACGCCACCAGCAATCATCTAGATCTCGACAGGTAATCTCTACGAACACAATTCGTGTCAAGTAGGCATACTTAACCTGAACAATGAATAGTTTGATAGAGTTTTTCAAGTATTCATACAATAAATCGATTACTAATTGAATCTTCCGTTTTGCTTTATTTTTGCTACATTTCTGACATTATAAAATATATGATGGAGATCGATCATAGTAATAGATCGCAATCACCTACATTCAACAGAGATCTAAGAGGGTAATGTCGTGTTTGGCATTCGCAGAAAACAAGTTAGTTTACAGAGTAAAGGAAGCGTGATTGATTCTACTCGACTAATAGAAAATCTTCGTATTATTTAACATTTTTCATGCGATATTCTCGTCGTCGATGCTAGCTCCAATTGTTTTTCACGTGAGTGACAAGAAGATTGGTGATAATATTTGTTTCATCTGTTAAAGACTTCATAATGACGATGGTAACAACAGTTGCACAGGCTCGAAAGTAGACGATCGTTGATTATCTCGGATATCATTCGACACTTCATTAAGAAGATATAGTAGAGAAAATGAAAGCCAACGGAGCAATCATATCAGACAAGCAGAAAAAGTAATTTTCGTTGGGTAGGTGAGACGGAAATCGAGATTTATAAAATTATGAGGAAAATATCGATGTTATCAGCAAAAACACAGGAAGAGGAGGAAGAAGAACAGAGGAATTTCGTAGAATTTTGTTCATTTTGTGTGGTGAGTCATCTGACTGGATTTCAGCGATGTTTGATCAAGATCGAACTTGAGTGGCATATCTTGTTCTATGTAGGAATTGGTCGGTGGTACAAGTAAAAAGCAAAATTGGAAAGGTTTAGGTATTGCCTTTATTGTCATTGCAATCATTTGTCTGTTCATTGCTGCAGCGATTCTTTTAACAAGTTCTCGTAAGTACATATCGTTTTCTTCTTTCGAAACGTTTCAATCTGAACTTCTTTTAGAACAAATTCATATTGATAATAAACTTCTTTCACTAACTGAGCAAGACATATTCAGTATCAAAGTACCTAAACCGTAAATATTTTCTTTTTGATAAAACATTCATTATTCTAATCAAATTATGTTTTCTAGTTGGAATGGAACATGGATATCGGATAGGTTTTTTTCGTATGTGGACACGAATGATTCGATATGGATCTACAATTGCGACACACTTGAGAGGGAATTGCTGTTCAAAAGTGATTTCATTCAACAGGAAAGTGTCGAATATGGAATTGTCTCGCCATCGACGAAGTACATACTAATACCAGTCAAAACGGAGAAGGTAAATGAATACATTTCACGTTGATATTTGTATTTGCCTTTTAGATCTCGTCATATTATACAGACTATCAGTATGATATCTACGAGAAATCGAGGATGATTGCGTCGATTGCACGTGTCAATGAAACTAAACGATCAGTCTCTGCTGTAGTATACTCCCACTCGGATCATCTATTTGTAAGTTTTATTCTTTTCCTCAACAGCTCAAACAGTACGAGTTTCTTTTTCTCGTAGGCTTTCATTGACAATTTCGACATCTATGTATATAATATAACGAGAAAATCAAGTTATCGAATGACATTCGATGGTAATCGAAATACAATTCATAACGGTCTCGTTGAATGGATTCATGAATGTAAGAATACAGCTTGTCAATATTTATTAACAAATTCTTTTCTTTAGATGAGATTTTCAACCGAAAGACTCTTCTATTTTGGTCGCCAACGGATCGTTATTTAGCATTCATTAAAATCAATCTAATCGACGTACCGAAAAATTACTATCTAAAATATGACTTCACCTTGGAAAACGATGATCTTTATTCAATTCCGTATCCGAAATACAACGATCCCATTCCTGCGCTGAATGTTTTCATCTTCAACACTCGAACGAAGAAGACAATCCGTGTGCCACAATCGAATGATAGTGCGAAATCGTAAGTGTAGTTTACAGGTATTTTTGTCAACCTAGTTGCAATCTGCTTAGAAATAAGTCGGACGTGTATATTTATCACGTTGTTTGGTACTGTGATACGTGTTTTGCAGTCGTATATGGAAATCGTGTACAAAATACAAGTACAATTCAACTGTACGAAATAGTGTACGATAAAATTAGTTTCAAGTCAAAATATATCGAAGAGACCAGTCGAGGATACTTGTTATCGCGGTTTTTGAAGCCATTCTTTTCCTCTTTGGGGCCATATGCTTATATCATCCGTTTTGATCCTGTCATTAACGGAAAGGCTGGTCAGAAAGCGTTTCCACGTGTTGTACGAATACATTTCAATCAATCGGTGAGCCATAAGATGAAAGCTGTACAAAACTGTTTCCTTCATATTTTTTTAGTATCCTCAAGTTGATGCGAAATCACCTGAAGACATCAATGCTGATGAAATTCTTCATGTCGACAATCTCGGTCAAGTCTATTTTACCGGTTTCGAACCGCTGAATTCACTCGAAAGGCAACTCTATCGGTAAAAAGAACTTTACGTATTAGAAATATATTTTTTCATCCATCATAGATGGACACATACGGACGTCGTGTCAGAAATCGAATGCTTATCTTGTAACGAGTCCTGCGGATATATCAACGCTCAATTTAGTCTCGGGAAGGGGAACTATTATATTTTAGAATGTCTCGGACCATCTATTCCTTATTCTGTATTATATAATCAAATGGAAAGGCTGGGTACATTCAAAAGAGCATCTAACATTTTTGAGTACCATTTCACATTTCAGTGCTTATCGATGATAATGAACCGTTTCGAGAATGGATCAGTAATCGGTTAATGCCATCGATTGAATATTTTACAGTGCCATTAGACGAGAAAAATTCGAGTAAGAAAAATGGCCAGAATCGTGATTTTTATTTGTTCAGACGATTATTTTCCATAGTTGTTGGTAATGGTATGATTATTTTACCACCCAATTACAATCCGAATAAAACTATCGCATCCTATCCAGTAATCATGACAATGTAAGCATCTTGAAAGGAATCGATCCGATTGATTTCTATTTGATTTCTAGTAACGATCGATTGTATGATCAACGTGTAACGAAGAAATACATATTGCCTTTAGCTGAGTATGTCTACGTGCGTAGTCGCTTCGCGGAAAACTTGTTTTTGTTTAGTTATATTCAAGTTATAGAAGATAATTTAACTGTTGTCATGTTCGATGCGCATGGTAGTATAGGGCAGGATGAAAATTATCTGAAATCAAATTCACAGGACTGGTTAGAACGGCAATATCAAGATTATATCAAAGTTGCTCAGTAAAGTGAAAAGATCTCGATGAAACGAATGTTCATTTTGCAGTTTTTTTTGTTTAGACATTTGAAATGGAATGAGAAAAAGTTCAACGAAACATTGAATGATACCAGATTTGGACTTCGAGCACGAGTGAGTTCGAATTTTCATCATCAAATTCGATCGACTATTTTTGAGTATAGGGTCCTGCTGCTGTCGTTGCACTAAGACTACTGGAAGGACAAGATGAATATATCTGTGCATTTCTCCAGTCACCTGTCTATGATTTAGCTCATTATTGTAAGTTTCCTTCGATCATGTTAACGTTCAATTCCGATCATGTCGTTTCTCAAGATGCGGCCTTCAGCGAGCATATCATCGGATTGAATGGCGGCATGAAATCGGTAAGTTCCGAATGGGCAAGTGTCGCTTTGTTGTATCATCTAGTCTTTAGTCTCTTGAGCTCGACATTCAAAACAAAAGTATCGCATTTGTTCATGGAACAGCTGATGGTAAAGAGAAAGACGACTGAATACCGATCTCATTCCGTTCTTCACATTTAGAAATCGTACCTTTTAAACATTCGGCAACACTGGCAAAGGCATTGACTGACAAGCATGTCAATTTCGATTTTAAGGTATAGTCGGGAGACTTATTCTCGCAGATAAATTTCCTCTGTTGAAACTTTTCAGGTTTATCCTGACGCAAAACATCATTTCGAACAGAATCCTGTGATCTACAATGACTTTCTTCATTACCAACGACATTTCTTTCAAGGCTGCCTAGGTGGACGAATTAACAAAGAACGGAAAATCGTTTCACTAGAAGAATACGATTAATACCGTTCGCTCATTGAAAATCACCGTTTATTCTTTCCAAAACAAAGAAACTCACTGCTCCGGTGATGATCACCGTTGAATTTCTCGTGTGTTTATAGAGTTGTTTATCTAGATACTCATTATAACATGTTTTATTTATGATTGTAAAGAAAATGTCCTATTCATATGAATAGAAAATCAAATTGTCCTGTTTTGTTAATTGAAGAAGGATGCCAACTTCTTCTTTCAGCTTTCATTTCGTTGACAAACAAGTCGAGTCGACATTGAACATAAGTTCTCTTATATTTTTCTAAAGCAAATCAAATTTACAACTTGAAAATTCATTCAACAGTTTTATACACTCTTCAATTGCGTTATTTCTGAAACACACTTATCTTCGATGAAGATATCAAGAAGAAAAACACCTGCAGAATGCATTTATCAATGGAGGCAATGTCTCTCGTCGAAAACTTTTATTATTAAATAGAAGTTTAGTACAGTTGTGATAGAATAGTGATTGACCATTTTGCTTCTTACTCTGTGTAGGTGTATGCACGTTCTATTCAGTTATGGATCAGAGATGTCGGAAATGAGAAAGTTCATAACAACCTGATGTTGGCATTGTTATTCAAATAATCGTTTGCATGACATAAGGCCAGAGAAAAAGGCAACAGAAACGATTAATGTTTAATGTCATTTAAAGTTGTTCAAGGAGAAATGTTTAACGAGTAGAGAATGTCATCAAACGCGTATCTCTACTGCGCTGGATGTTCTTCTTTGCGTTGTGTTCTTTTTATTAGATTTATTTCCTTCGGATTGAGATGTTTTTTCAATATATATATATATATATATTCGTCATTATTTTCCCCTCTCGTTGTTTTTTGTCGTCATCGATATCTATATTCATACCGGATCAGTTGAGAGCATTCGTCTATTTGTGTGTTCAAGTGGCCAACGACACAAATCTTCAATGCTAGATGCGTGTATGATTGGCGCACAATATATGTGTTCTTTCGTCATTGAGCAGCTCAGTTTAGTTGAAATAAAAATACTTCTTTTCTGTGTGTTCACACGCACACATTCTAAAGCTGGTAGGGAACGTAAGAGCGAAAAAAAGGGAAAGAAATAATGGAATGACAGACAAGCAGACGACATTGGCGTTGCAAGATAGACAGAGAAAAAAAACAACGGAGAAGAGAACGCGAACGCGTTTACTCGAGCTTTTTTCTGTCATTGTGCATCCGCTCTTTTTTTCGTCATTGCAACAATCTTTCAGATGACGAGAACGACGATGATGGCGACGACTGCTTCTTCGCGACAGTATTTTGCGCACATGTCAAATGATAGAAACAGGGAAGAAAAACCTAGGATAAAGAAGAGAGAGAGAGAGAAAAAAAATGTATCGTAATGCTGCTATTATGGTTAGTGACATAGTGTGAGTATCGCACTCGTTAAGATCTGTTCTAAGATTGACGATGACAAAAACATAGCGATTGATTTCTTCAGTTCGTTTCGATTTTATTTTATTATCCTAGTTGAATCAGACTGAGACATGCAAAGCTGTCGCACATACAATGTGGAACTTGACTTGTTTTACATTCTTTCTATTCAGAAAATCTCGTTTGGCTGTTTTCTCTTTTAACATTCTCTCTACTTACTAGCTAGAACATGCAAAGGCCTGAATGTGCAGAAACGCGAAACGGTCGCTGTTCATTCTCTTGTGCACACCCTTACCCACAGTTTTTTCAGTCACTCTTGTCATGTACGTCGGACGCATTGTTTGCCATTTATCTATCTTTCTTATTCAATAGCATAACTCACGCGTATCTGTTCAATAACAATTGCCATTGACGAAACATACAAAAAACAACAACACACAGACTACCGTGGCTAGAAAAACCTATACGGTTAAGGAAAAGAAACAGAAGACGTTGCTCGATGCACGCGTACATTTCGCTATTTTTAGCCATTCCAACTCTTTGGTCTACTACTATCATCCGACGCGCATTTCTTTTTTGCATTTGTTCTTTGACAGTAAACGAGCGAGCGCGTCGAAGATCCCACCCATTCAATGAGCTAGTTGTTACTTTCTATTGCAATAGAAATCTTTTTTCTTCCTTTTCTTCTGTTGCTTCTTTTTTTCTTTTTTTTTCTCCTTCTTCTTCTTCCGCCTTTGTTCGCACACAACATTTCTAAATCATCATCATCATCATCATCATCGAGCATTATTAACGCTATTCTTTTTGGTTTTTTTTTCTTCAATTTATATTTATATGTTTTATTATGTTCAAGATCCGACGTGTTACAACTTTGAATATGCATCATTGGTCTGTCGATTTGATGATTGATTATTATCGTTCATCAACACCACTACGCAATGTAGAGGTGCATTTAACTAATAATATCTGGTGAGTGATTTTGAAAAGAAATATTCTCCACCTACATGTTTTCATATGTATCTATGCGCATGAAAGATTTTCTTGTTTCTTCTTTCCCGATCGTCTCCTCTACTTGGTCAAATGTAATTTAAGACAAAGTGGTTTTCTTTCTCGTTAAATAAGTGACGTAAAGAGAGTACGAAAGTAGAGTGTATGTCGTTGACACATACATAAAGTAATTCCTTCTTCTTCTTCTTCTCCTACTACTTCTTTTTTCCTCCGTTTTCTTTTTCTTATCCGAGTTTTTTCTCTCTCATCCGTTTAGAATGTCATAGTTCAGAAGAAAAGACAAAAAAAAACCCGTTGTGCGTCATCATTAGTTGCCTCGTGAAATAAATAATAAACATCAGCTGTAAACTCCATTTTCTTGAATGATTCGTTTCTCAAGGGAGATCTATTTAATGTTCTTGTTTTTCTTCTCGTTAAAGCTCATATCGATAAATAATAAATGATGAGCACCGCTAGCAATTCACAACCACCGGTGACAATATCATCCGATGAAACCTTATTGTCATCGAATCAATCAACTCCAATGCCTGCTCCACCACCACCACCACCGCCACCGCCTCCGTTAATTCCACGTTCAGCCATAGTCGACCATGGAATCAAATCTCGTCCGGGTGGTGTTGATCGTGATTCAAATAAACTATCCACAACAATCAAACGTTCACAAGCTATATCTAATATACAAGATCTCGATGAAGATAGTCCGGTGACATTTGAAATCGAACCGAGTGATCATCATGTACGAAAGAAAGTTCAACTACAGCATCCGTCAATAAGTAGTCGAACGTTGAATGACTCGCTGTCATCGATTGATAAACAGCAAATGACAAGCAGTGGCGGAGGCGACGAATCAGATACGCGCTCTGAAACAAGTGAAAAAACACCTGAATATATCGAAGAAGATCGACCACTACTATCAGGCATTCATGTTAAAGGAGCCACACTGAACCGGCTGATTCGAATTCTGATCGATTCATTCGGTAGGCTATTCGTTTACCTATACGAATGACATTCATATCGAAAGTGATTTTATTTTAGATCCGAACGGTATACTGATTGATGAGAGTGAATATCCGAAAGTTTTCTTTCTTATGCACAAATGGATTATGGAATCCGAACATTTGAGCAATATGCTCTATGATCTATTCAAACATAACGGAGATGATTATAAAAAGGCAATAGTTGCCCAAGAAAAGCGGCAATTCAAAGAGTGTCAACTACGTGTTTGTCAAGCATATAGGTAAAATTCTTGTCATTTACAAGCGAAAATCACTCGTTTGACTTTGATGTGTTTAGTTATTGGATAAAAAATTTTCCCATGCATTTTGACCTTGATAAACGTTTAAAAGATGCATGTGAAAAGATGCAAAATCTCATCGAGTCTTCTGGTGATAGTGACTGTATGAATCTCGTCGATTTATCTCAAATGTATGTCACTATACCTTCCTATTCGAATATATATAATCGATTCATCGTGTCTTTAGACCATCGTTTGATTGGATGCGGCAGATGACGGTTCGAAATCAAGCGAAAAACAAGACTGTATCACTTGCGTTCAATAACATCGAGTCACAAACATTAGCAGCCCAATTGACCTATTTAGAATGGAAAATCCTACGACGTATTACATTTACTGATTACAAAATCTATGCGATCAAAAATACTCTCCAAGGAAATCCGCGATTGGAACGATCGATCCAGTTCTTCAATGGTCTATCGACATGGATACAGTGTATGGTTCTAAGTAAAATGACACCGAAACAACGAGCGGAGATTATACATAAATTTCTCGAAGTTGCTAAAGTAAAATAAGAATCGACAACGGAAAATGAATCACTACCGACTTGTTCTTTTTAGTATCTGAGAGATTTACAAAACTTTAATACATGTTTGGCAGTTATTGGCGGAATTTCACACAGTGCATTGGCTCGCTTGTCAAAAACAATGATGTGTTTATCAACGGAAGATATCAAAGTAGATTTTTCATCCAGCGACTATTTCGTTTTCAAAGATTGTTGTTTTGTTTTAGTTTCTTAGTGAAATGACCGATTTGTTATCTTCAAATTCAAATTATGCACAATATCGAAGAAGTTTAGCCGAGTCTGAAGGTTTCAAAATACCGATTATGTACGTGAGATAAACTTGAATATCTCGAGTTCGATAAAACGAACCTTGCTCTGATTCTAGCGGTGTTCATTTGAAAGATATTATTTCCCTTCATGTTGCCTTACAAGATCGTTTTGAATATGATCTAATCAATTTTCGTAAATTAGTTCAACTAAGTATTGTCTTTCGTACGTTAACCAATCTACAAGTATCTATTCCGCCGATTCAGCCCAATCATGATTTAATAAACTTACTTACGGTAGGCGATGCCTGTTGGCAAGTCATAAACGTTGCTGAGGTTATTTGAATTTAAATTTAGCTTTCAGTCGATTTAAGTTATACAGAAGATGAAATTTATGAACTTTCATTAGCACGAGAACCTCGCTCATCCGTTTCATCCGTAAGACATCCTATTTAATTTAAGTTTTTATTAATTTCTTTTTTTTCCTCTTTTAGCCGGATCAAGTATCTCGAGGCTTGTCTCCTGGCGAGTCAGCAAATGATTCTGCTGATGTACTGAAGAAAAAGGAACAAGTTCAAAGTCCCGTATTTGCTGACTGGGCTGCTGGTGTAAGTCAGACTATTGACATTCAAACAATTCAGCGCCATGTTAATGCTATGGTCGAAGCCGTTTTTACTACTTATGATCATGATCGCGACGGCTATATATCTCATACTGAATTCGAAGAAATCGCCCAAAACTTTCCATTTATTGACACGTTCACTGTACTCGACGCTGATCAGTAAGTTGAAATATCGGTTTGTACAATTTCGAATGCTGAGATGAAAATTGTTTTGTCTAGAGACGGAATGATATCGAAAACCGAGATGCGCTCGTACTTCATTCGAGCTAAATATCATGATTTAAAAGGTGAATTTAAACATGATTTCCACGAAACAACTTATTTTAAACCAACATTTTGCGTTCACTGTACTGGCCTATTGTGGGGGTTGATTAAACAAGGTTGGAAATGTAAAGGTAAATTGATCAAGATGCTCTTCAAATGTTCTCGATGAAGAATAAATATTGAAATTTAGATTGTGGAATTAATGCTCATCGGCATTGTAAAGATCAAGTAGTTATGGAATGCCGTCAAAAGCGACAACATCCAGTAAATAAACAAGGTTCAGTCACGGATTCGCGACCTGGTCGAAACTCGTTTCGCATACGAAAAACTCGTAAACAGAAAGCAACTCAAACCGAAGATATCAACTTTTCCTCGTCGTCATCATCGGGCACGTCTGAGAGTTGCACAAGTTCATCTGAAGATGAACAACCTCATTTACACCCAGAAATTCTTGATAAATCTGCACCTCATAATCGGTGGCATTTACGTAAACCCTCTTCCTTGAAACGACGAAAACAGATTCTTTCCGATTCCAACGACGATTATTATTACACCCATCCACCTTCACCACAGCAAGCAAGCTCACTAACAACTATCACGACAGTCAACAGTGCGACATCAACAAGTACAATACCGATCCAGCAGTTAATTCCACGCGGCCCATTGATTTGTTCTGACAGTTTCGAAAAATGGAACGAGCGAAGCTTTACTTGGAATCGCCCCGCTCCATCATCAACATTAACCTCAACAATACCGAACACTTCGACGGCAACATCCGAGCCATCGACCATTAAAACCAATACGGATGATAAATCTCTTCAGCAACCTCCCTACAGTCAAGATTCGTTTCTTGAAGGTGATGTTAGTGATGATGATACTTGTTTCACTTCCAATACAAACTCGTCGACGTTACCACAGACGAAAACGTCAACCAATTATGGTAGTAGTCAAAATCTAAATCCAAGAAAAGTCTCATTGACCGAATCACTACGATCATTACCAACAACAACCGATCCGACACAGTACGAAATCTTCGAACGTTTGAGACAAGCTGAAGAAGTAAACGAAAAAAAACATTTCCAACGTAGACATCTAAACTCGATTTTTATTTAGGAAAAGAAACGTCTCGAAGATGAGAATCGAGCCATGAAACAAGAACTCGTTCGAACCAAATCCAAAATCAGTTCCTTAAAACGTGAAATGAGTTCAATTCAACAACTACATTTAGCCCAACAACAAGTGCACGTTCAACTATCCGCACCGTCATCAATAACTCCTCGACAAGAACATTATCATCAACGCTTATGCCCAGCCAACCATCCACCAACATCGTCATCATCGGCAATCTACCTTTATACAAAAGATATTCCCGATCAAAATCGTTACCATCCGATGACAATTAATATGAATGATCTTTCCATATCCAGTAATGATGAATCGGCATCTCCTACAACATTTTCTCCTAATCCTGATGTTAATCCATCATCATCAACTCAAACAGTTTCCTTCTCATCTGTTGAACATTCAACGAGTTTAGCACCTTCTTCGACACAGATTCAATCTTCAAAATCACCATCGGATGAACAACTACGACTATATCTGACAGAGACGATACAACAACGAGAAAAGGATAGCGATGCTTGATCCGAATTCTCCTTTGAATGCTGGCCGTTCATTTCTCACAAATAGTTTTCTCTATCTAGCCTTCTCTATTCTACAAACATACGTACTTCTAGTCATTATAACTTCATCAAGGACCATATACTGAGTTGTTTTTTTTTCTAGTTCAAATGCTGGTACATTCCTTTGTCGTGTCTCATTTTTTGTTTCCTTTTATATAAGACATTCAATCGGAAATATATCTGTTGAATAACATGACTCGCATTCTTGCACATCGCTAACAATAAACCACCGTACAAATCGATCTACTTCGACTCAAGTACGAAAAATGAGAAAATACTGACGCCCAAATATTTTATTTTCATAACATTTTGCCAAACATGAACAGTGTTAACATCTGTCTCCAAAATACCGATCGAACGATGATATCCCACGTCAGAAGATGCTATCTGCGACTCCAAGTACGAAACGGATCTCATATGATAACAATGTTTTATTTTGTATCAAGATCGGCGAAGAATGATTATTTGATCTTATCATTGTTTTGGATGAACCTTCGATAGGTATCTGCATAGAAGGACGAATATTGATTATGAATGAAAACAAAATATATTTCAAAATGATAATCATTTAAGGCGAGCACGCATAATGCAGGAGATGTATTGGAAACGAAAAAGATTAAAGTTGACTTTCTCGAGAATAATCATGTCTATTTTCATTTTCTTTTCATAGATATTGAAAAAAATGCATCGGAATTATTCGAAACGCAATAAGAAAAAAATAAATTCAAAAATCAACTTGAAACGCAATGTTTATTGTGATACAATGAGTTATCCCCGAGAACTTTCCTATTAAAACTTTAGAAAAACGAGAGCAATGTTGAAGTCAGCACGTTTAACTTCGAGTGAATGGATGTAATATAAGTACATTAATGTCGGCCCGCGAGTTTGGATTGGTTACCAATGTACGTCGAAGAATATCATTTAGTGACGAGTCAGGATAAGGCGGCTGGCCAAGGGGTGGATTGGCTGCTAAAGCATGATATGCCGGTGGTCGGCCATAGACCATAAAGTAAAGAATGGCGCCCAAAGACCAAATGTCAGCTTTTGGACCATAAACTCGCTGAAGACCAGCAACGTCTGTCATAATTTCTGGAGCACTAGTTTTCAAGGGAAAATATTTGAGGGGTTTAGTTCTGTAAGATTTAGCTTACCTAAACAGTGGTGTACCCATTCGAGCGTAGCTAGTTAAAAGAATAAAAACTTATTCAATAGAAATTTGAGATAGAAATTGTTCCTTTTACCCTAAACTATCGGCCTTTCGTGAAATGCCTAAATCAGCGATTTTCAATGTTCGTCCGAAGAGAATTAAATTATCCGGTTTTAGATCCATATGAACAATGCCATTGGTATGCAAAACACGAACAATACTAACCATTTGATGCCAAAACTCTTTTATCATTACTGGATCGATCGCTGGACCACCACCGTCATTCATAGAACGTAATCGACGAATTAGTGCTGTCAGATTCTCTCCGCCTAATTCCATCACAATATATCCTAGTCACAAAACGAAAAATCCAATCGTCAAAGTACACAAACGAATCTTTCCTCAATCCCTTCTCGAGCAATCCAATAGCAACTCTTTATCCTCAAAGATCGGCTTTCTAACCCTCAGATCTTGACAAAATTGCTATGAAAGTGAACGCTATTTACAAGAACAAAAAAGCTCGTTTGATTTCGAGAGTCGACACTTGTCTGCATAGGATTTCACCCGTCTTATAAATACCTTGACCAGATCGAGGATCAAAATCGAAATCATAAATAACAACAACATGCCGCGAAGCCTGTCGTAATCGTTGAAGATGGCCAACTTCGTTCAAATATGTTCGCACAAGACTTTGACTACGTGCTGGTGGTAAACCATTTAAATTAATGACTTTAACAGCGACTGCTTTACTATCAGAGCGCCTTGCTTGATAGACCGAACCTACGATCAACGAGAGAGACGACTGATTAGTTTCTAGTCGATTTTAGTCAATCAATCGATTACCAAATCCACCCGAACCCAAACGGCGTTCGAATGTATACGGAACGTTATGAATGACAATCGTCGAACCCGAATACGGATCTTTGCTGACTATACGCGCTGCACGGCCTAGCCACGAGGAAAGAAAGAAAATGGTTATAATGAAGTTTAATTTGAAAATGAAATACGCACTTATTAATCCACCCATGTTAATTAAATATTTTCCAAGCCAGTACCTTTCTGTTTGTTGTTGTTATTGATATCGTCCAAAACGTTATAGAGTTGGTTAAGCAAAAAAGAAAATTGTACATCAATAATGAGCGTAAAAGAAAGAGAAAAGTAAGCAAGTGTTCCACATGAATGGATCATGTGTACAGATGAAATTATTCAAACACATGTAGGCGATAAAAATCATGTTTTTCTTCTTTTTTTTTCACTGCACCTATTAATGTAACTCATTTTGTCGTACCTGAAAATTTGTCATCTGATTGCAATACAAAATTGGTTCGCAGATGACGTGTTAGTAACATCTTCGATTTCGGATATCAAACGAAAGTAAAAACAATAGAGTAGTATGCGCATTTTCACCCTTCAGTTCATCGTTTTCATGCGTCTAAAGATTGAATTTCTTCTTTTCGTGTTATCAGCGTACATACAAGCAAATTAATATTGTAATCATCGACATAGGATTGTATTCATTCGAATTAAGATGAAAGAAGAAAATAGATTTTGACGTGTCTTTTTCTCCTCGCTCTTTTTATCTGATGTGTTCTAAGCTTGTTTTTCTCATCTAGCTTGAGTCCATCGTTCGAGTGAGATAGGTGTAGAGAGAACGAAAGAGACAAAAAAGAAATGGATGAATGCAACTGAACTTTTCGTTCTATCACATTGAGGAAGACTCGATCGAATATGAGTATATGTCCATATTATCATTCTAATGGCCTTTTTGCTTTCGTCAATTGAATATCCGCATTACTTGAAGACAATTCTTGTCACCACTTAGATGATTTTCAGTTTTAGATCATGCAAGAATATAAATTAGTCGTATTAGGCAGTGGTGGTGTAGGCAAAAGTGCATTAACTGTACAATTTGTTCAAGGCGTGTTCGTTGGCAAATACGATCCAACTATCGAAGATTGTTATCGAAAGGTAGATCGAAATTGATTTGATTCACGCTTCGAAATGATTCAAACGGTATTTTCGATGTAGGAAATAGAAATTGATGGAGTGAATTGCATGTTGGAAATCCTCGATACTGCTGGAACGGTAGGAGAAACGAATATTATGAGTAATGCATTCGTGTTTTATCTTTTTCTCCAAGGAACAATTCACAGCAATGAGAGATTTATATATGAGAAATGGTCAAGGTTTTGTTCTCGTTTATTCAATTATATCTCAAGCAACATTCAATGATTTGGTTGATATCAAAGATCAAATCATGCGTGTTAAAGATATTGGTAGTGATATACCAATGGTATTGGTTGGAAATAAATGTGATCTGGAAGATGAACGTGCAGTGGGAAGACATCAAGGAGAATCTCTAGCCCGTTCGTTCGGTTGTACATTCCTCGAGACATCCGCGAAACTAGAAGTCAATGTCGATGAAGTGAGAGAAAGAAGATCAGGTGCAAATTTATCTATCTCGTGGATAATTTAGATTTTCTATGATTTAATTCGACAGATTAATCGTAAAGGTCATCGACCGAAGCAACTCGCATCTCCCGATCGCAATCATGTCGAGCAAACCGCCGATCATGAATATGCTGATCAGTCAACTCCGTACTATGAAGAAGGATCTGCCAAACATATCAAAGGTTGTTGTGTTCTTCTATAGAATAAATCAAAACATCTCACGTGTTTCTCCCTTCTCGGAAGTGCACAAACAAAAAAACAATATGATCAAATCAATAACTAATGTGAACGCACATGCTTAATTAAAGACTTGTCAAAATGTGATTATATAAGAAATAGTATCGTCACACTGATCAGGAGAAGATATAAAACAAAACAGCGTATCGTTCGATTTCTGCATGAACAGTTTTTCAACAAGCTTCGATGATTAATTGAAAGCCTTGCTAAAAACTACTACGAAACCGAAAAGAGGACAATCGACACGAAAGAAAAAGTAATCTCTCATGTTGTCAATAACGGTGACTCACACGAATTGAGAGAAAAACATCCCGAAAATTCTTTTGTTGACGTCTGTAGAAAATGTTGCCATCAGAACGAACGAAATTTTGCATTTGTCAAGTTGTATAGAGAAGCTTAATCAATATTTTAGAAGGGTACTCTTGCATCTAGTCGACGGAGAGTTGTCAACGAAAGAAAGAAAGTAATTGTTTCGAAATTTGCTCGACAGAAGAGAAATGCCACTTTCGGAATACAAATTGTGTGTTTTCGGATCAGGTGGTGTAGGAAAATCATGTTTGGTAAGATGAAAGATCCTTCTGGTGAATTTGCAAGGTGAATATGAACATTTCGTTGCAGACAATGCAATTTGTTCAACGTATTTTCATGCCAAGATATGATCCAACAATCGAAGATGTTTATAAAAAGGTTTTTTTTAGGAGATTTGTTTCGAACTTTTATTAAGACGTGTTTTCCAGACCGTAGAAATCGATGGGCAACAATATTCACTGGAAATTCTCGATACAGCCGGCACGGTAAAAACCATTTGGAGCAGAGTATCATTGTTTCGTTTGGTTTCTTCAGGAAGAATTCTCTGCAATGCGAGATCTGTACGTGAAAAATAGTCATGGATTTATTCTAGTCTATTCGATCACATCACAAGCAACATTCAACGATTTGACTGACTTCTACGAACGAATCATTCGCATTAAGGATACTGAAATTAATGTAAGATGAAGATATTTCCAAGAAAAGCAAATACATGAATGAGGAGATTTTTTAGGGCACGCCACCAATGGTCTTAGTTGCCAACAAAAGTGATCTAGAAGATGAACGTGCTGTCGGACGTCAAGCAGGACAGGAATTAGCAAGGCGATGGAAATGCACTTTTCTTGAAACTTCAGCCAAGAATCTTCTTAATGTTAATGAAGTACGAGATGCTCGATCGATGATTTCCATCACTGAGTTGTTGTTTAGATATTCTTTGATCTCGTTCGACAGATCAATCGAGCAGTTGTGCGACATGGCGGTCGTTTTGACAACGATCCGCGAAGCTCGACTCGACCACCGATGACAAAGTCTCAGCCAGTCAATGCTCAGACATCGAAAAAGAAATCTCGTCATCAAAAAGACAAATGTGTTCTACTTTAACAAAGATGAATCGTGAGGAATTGAATAAATTTTAATCAAGAAAATCAATAGTTTCTTTTCGAAAATATACATATGAAAGTCACATTCAGTCTCATTAAATCAATTAATTAACAAATACACTAACAAAAATTTGATTCACTAGAAGAATATTTCGGAAAACGAAAACGAAAAACAAGAGAGAACTATCGGTAATCACAGATACTATTTCTTCTTCGTCCAATCAGATTGATATTTCCGTGATATGTAATACTCATAAGCAGCCCGATTGCATATGGGTAACCATTCACTCGCTTGATCTTCAACAGCCTAAAAGTCAACTTTATAAGCGGTACGCTGCGCGTTTTTCTTCACTTACTTGAAGATAAATATAAGCATCGGTACCGTAACCATCAATGGAATGGATTTCGAGATCACCGTTAAAGTATCGTGCGTAGAGTCGACTCTAAATGATCAAGTCGATCGTTCGTTCTGCTTTTTAGCGATAGACATACGATAGGAAGACCATAACCAAAGCCAGCTAACGGAACCGGGCCGGAATGTTGAGAATCATGTAACGAAACAGGTCGTGGCGCAGTCGAATACATATATCGGAAGATTTTATCAGCTTTTGAACGTGGAATTCCTCCACCGCGATCACTAAAATCAATCATCAAAGAACGAAACTTGATTGAAATCTGACTAACCTAATACGAATAGTTAAATCTTCTTTAGCTTTTACAATATCAACCTATAAGCGGCAAGAACGATCGATTAGTTGATGAAATTAACACAACGAACCTTTATAGGAGGTAGATCATCGCCATTCTTTTTACTTTCAGTACATTCTACTGTTGCACGCATAGAGTTCTAAATTCAAAACATCAAACTACAGTCAACTATGGCAACTTTTCCATTCGTACTTTGAATAATTCAAACATGACATGATACAGATGTGATGGAACATAAGCTATTGCAATTGATTCATTCGAGTTTATTGCTAAACAGAAGTGACGTGAATATCGTGTAAGCAAGAACGCATCTATATTAATTACCATTTATACTGCGAAGTTCCATTCGAGGAGATTTCAGATAATAACTTTCACATAGAAATTGAGCATTCTCATACGCATCTGAATGGAGTAAGAATAATCTCTGTTGTTGATTTATCTATAATAACGACATCCTACCTCGAATGGTATCTTCGACAAAACAAGATGGATCAACGAAACCTAGATGTGTTGGATGTATAGGTACCTCTTCGCCAAAGCACATTGCTAATAATAAGAACGATAGATAGAGAATGCTATGTGAGAATGAAGTTCTTACTATGCTGGTAAATGAGTAACCGAATTGATATGCGAGATAGATAAAAACGATTAAGAAAATATTGTATTTGTGATTCTTCGTATTCTTTCACTTGACCCAAGTCGGAAAATTCCATATAACCCTACAACCAGTTTCTTCCAATGGAAAAATAGATCTACGTGCAATAACTTACTTGCGCCAACGTTTCGACGACAGTTGAATGTCGTTTTCTGATATTCTGTAGAATTTCTGTAAAGCTAGAATTTCAAACGAGAAAATAATTTCGTATCTTTGATCACATTCGCCTTTGTTTTACCTTTTAACCACGTCCGTTGTTGGTTTAAGGCCTTTGAATGAATGCAATTCGGTTAAACTTGTTCCATACCAACTATTCACTGTTTTAACACTTGGCATGTCGAGAAGGCGCGACGGGAGATGATTCATTTCTTTCATCATCGACGCTAATCGAACTGGTAATTCATTTCGAAGAAATAAAAACGATTGGTGAGCATCGCCTTCACGCGCTAAAGATATCAAAAGGAGAAACGATGAAAGAACAAAGAACGAAAGTTTCCATCTTTACCAAACTCAACAATTTTTTTCATTGTCAATCCAGTTGGTGGATATTGTGCATAGAGATCAACTAACTGCGCTATTGTTAGCGGTTGTTTACGTAGAAATCGTGTTAAATACATGATTTTCGTATGGAATAATCTACCCTAATCTAATCATTCTCCATCTATCTAAAATTATTCTAGGAAATGGTACATATATAAACCAAGATGGTGTCTAGTTAGCAAACGAAAAGGAAAGAAGAAGAAAAAAATAAATACTACATAAAAAAAGACCTTCTTATTTCTTTGTCCAATCCGATCCTTTTTTCGTTGTGTACGAATATCGGATCTTACTAAATATTGGTAGCAATTCACTAAGAAGACAAAAAAACGTTTATCGAACAGTATCGAAATGTTCCAGTTCGTACCTGGCATTTTCTGCTGCTGCCTAGAAAGCCAACAATTAAAGGTAAGTGAATAAGTTTTCGGATGAAAATTTTCTATCGTTACCTTGATTGATATATACGCCCAAGTGCCAAGGCCTTCAACTGATGCTAAAGCGACGTTTCCTTGAAAGTATTTCGCGTAAAGACGAGCGATAGGTAAACCATAGCCAAGACCAGCTATCGGTGTTCCTTTCCCGTCGATAGCAAAATCAGAATTCGGTTTCGGTGCTGTTGAATACATATAGTGGAACAATTCGGATATCTTTGAACGAGGAACACCACCTATTGCAAATCGTTAACTGTCTGTATATTCAAAACATCTGTATGGCATTCTACTCACCACCTCGATCAGCTATTTGTATGGTTAAATCCTCGTGACCCTTCACAATTCGAACTTTCACAGGTGGATATTGCTTAGCATCCTGACCGTGTCGTTCAACAGTTGCCCGAAGTGAGTTCTGATTAACACAATCGGTTTCCATTGGGAACAGAACAGCAACGCAAAACTTACTTTCAGTAATTCAAATACAATGTGATAGATATGTGCTGGAATATAAACAATGGTGACAGGATCTTTTTCATTTTCATGCACTAAAACCGATCGACTATGTATTGAGAATTTCTGGCGAAGAATAGTAGTATACCAGTATGAGTAGATATTTCGACTGGTGGAACCGGATAGGATGATTTTTCGAATAAAAGCTTGGCTGTTGCATACGCATCTATGCAGACGAAAGCACGTGTAAATCGAAAAGATAGGTAATCGATCCTGATGCAAATAGACTTATTTCTGTTGTCTTCTATCGCTGTTTTTTTTCGTAGAAGAAAAACAAGAAGCTTTTTCTTTCTTTCTGTCTTATAACAAATGAAAAATCTAAAGTTTGCCCATGATATCCATCTCGACTCAATTGACACATCAGCCTTTGCAGTCAGTGTTGACGAAGAAGAAAGTACAAAGGTCGGCAGGTACCATTTCATTTGCCAATTTCATCAATCATGTGACATAAAGAAAAAGGGAAAAATCTAATCGAGATTATTTCCAAGGAAGAAATCTTCTACCAATGGCAATTATGTAGAACATCTCGACCCTTTCAGCAAAAGCTCGATTTCATTTCAAATATGAATAAGCTACTTTCCTCTACACAGGTGAAAAACATACCCACAAAGTAATCAGTCATATATATATATACGTTTAGATAAATATAACAATGATAAAGTCCATTGGTAGACATTTGTATTTCTCTTTCTGATTAAAGTAAACGTACATGTGATGTATAACCTTTTCTTGTCTATTAGTTCGTTCTTTTATCAAGAAATTTCTTTGATTTACCTCGAACGACGCCGGCAACATCACAATAAGGATCGATTATGCCCGCTTGTTGTGGATGCTGAGGAAATTCGTTTCCGAACAGCAGAGCTAGAAAGACATACTCGTCAGTCAAACGAATGAGAAAAACTTCGGATTATTAACTATGTTGATAAATCAATGTTCGTATTCCAATACGGTTCATAAAAAATCGATCATAGAAGTATTGCAAACGATTTTTTTCGATTAAATCGATCGGTCCTGCTTTTTCCAACTCCATATAAGCCTATATATATATATCGAACAACTACCCAATAGAACTGTTTCGTTGTTACGCACTCGAGCTAAAGTTGGAACCATATTCGCATGTCGACGACGAATCTCCACTAAGGTTTCCGTAAATCTAGATCGAATACAACAAGATCAGAAGATCGAACGAATGCAAGAAGAGTTCTACTTGCGGAGTGTTGTAGCATCGGGTTCCGCGTCTTTAAATGCTAAGACTTCTGTAAAACTTTGATCATAGAGTGAATTCGCTAATTTAAAACTTGGCATTTCCAATAATCTATCGAAAGCATAACGAGTTCAAGTGAGATTTTTCGATGTTAATTGTACCTTCCTGGTATCAAATTCATTTCCTTTCGCATATGTGACCATCGTACAAGTAGTTCTACGCGTAAAAATTTGTACGATTGTTTTATATCGCCGTCGACGGCTATGACAGAAAGAAAATGAATGATTTTCCTTCGAAATTCGTTTAAACATACCAAAATCAATCAGACTTTTTACAGTTACCGGTGTCGGTTGAAATTTCGAGTAAGTATCAAAATGCTTGGCAAGAGAAGAAAGTTTTCGGGTAAACTGCATGTTAATCTGCATGATACCAAGATTATCTAAAGTATAGCATGAGATCTGTACAAAGAAAATGTATGATTGTCTGCAGAGATACACAAACAAAGATTTAATTCAATGAGGAAATTTATTTTTTTTCAAACAAAAAGAAAATACAGATGAAAGATTTAGGAACTAAGTAAACGTTGAGTTGTTTGGGTGACTTTATTTTCAATATCTGTTACATTTGTATCAACGAAAGCCAACATTTTGAAACACGAGTCCAATGTTTTTGTTAATTGCTTGATATTTTGTTCGTTAATCAATGTTGGATCAGTCGATTGACTGGTTGATGTTACATCCTGTTCTTGATCATTGTCATCATCTTGCTCGTTCATTTTATCAACGATTTCTTGTAAATCTTTAGTTGAACATTTTACTAACGAATCTAATTGTTCCATTAATTGAAAGTTTTTCATACGTTCGTTGAATGTTAATGGTAAGTTTTGATTGAGATACATATTTTGTTGTTGAATTGAATAGATGTCTTGTTGCAAGGGCGGTAATTGTAGAATATCGTTTTCTAGACTTTGTAGATTCATTTCCAATTCTTTTTCATGTGTATCCAATAGTTTCAATTCATCCTGTAAGTGATTTTGTTGTAATTGCATCTGATTGATATCACGTTGAACTGATTGTAAAGTCTCGCGATATGTCGCCAAGTCTACATCACGTTGTCGAACTGATTGAGACAGATTTTCGTAAGATAAACGATGTTTCGTGTCGAAATCAGTTTGCCATTTAGTCAATAGACGTTCTAAATCACGATAAGTACGTGTGACCGGTTTTGCCGCTGTTGCTGCTGCCGTTGTCGTCGTCGTCGTTGGAAGTGTGCTTGCAGTCGTACCTGTTGCTGTAATGCTTGTTGTACTAGTTGCTGGATTGAAAAAGAAACTCATCTAGAAAATCACAGAGCAAAAAGTAAATGTTTATTCAATTTTTATTTGTTTAATTGTTTCTTGAAGATTATGAACGTCATGAAAGCATGTTTGTAATTCATCTGTAGTTTTCAAAATGGAATGATCTGTGTTGATCTGAAGGGCGTTATTAATTTGCTTCATCGTTTGATCAAGTTCGTTGAGATGTGTATCGACTGAATCCATCAGTTCGTAGGTGATCGAACGATCTTGATCAGTTTTTAGATTACAACGAATGTTGGGTAGAAGAGATTTACTGTCGGCATTCAATTGTTCAACGCTAGTTTCAAGTTCATCATTGTATTTTGCTAGTGTTTGAACTGACAGCTGGAATTGTTGCAAGTTTTTTTCAAGATTGGCTAATAAATTCTGCGTTTGAATGATCGAGTTGGTTGTTTGATTAAGAGATTGTTGTTTCTGTTCGAGTTGATTGGCAAATTGTAGTAGATGTTCTTCATTTCGCAATAAATTTTGGTGCCATTCGTCGATGACTTGTTGTAAATCATCTGTCGTTTTATTTGGCTTATTGAGAATTGCTGAAATCGAACCGTTTATCGAAGACATCTGGGTTTTTCTCGTTGGTTGTGAAATGAAAATGTTTTATGCATTAGACAGATAGATATGAAGAACAAAGAATCGATTGGATGTATTTCGCCTTAAGAATATAAACAACTTCATGATAGATGTCACTAGCAACAGAGGAAGTTCGTTACGTCGAAATTTTAACACGGAAGTCTTTATTCAATGCACTGATTTATTCCTTGCTATAAGAAGTGAAATTTTCATGTTCGATTGGTCAACAGTTGTTGAAACATGTTATGATTAACGACCGTGTCTCAATATTTAAAAGACTTTTACTGTTTATTTGCACTTTTCATATGACGAGAAACACTAAAAGCTTTCTTTTGTAAAATCAATAGTTTTAGTCTTTCTCCGCGCTTTTTTTTCTCAAAAGAAAGACTTTCAACGGCAATTCATCAACAATACGAGTCATCTGTATCTTCACACCGTCAGAACAGAAAGAAATCGAGTTGTTACAAGCAACAACATCATACGAAATGACTCTTTTTTCTTTACTTTTCTTTCACCTTTGCTACCACAACAGTCAGACTGTTTTTTTTCAGCGTTGCAACTCATTTCTTTATCATTGAAAACAACAGAAAGGTGTTGTATGTTCATTCGAGCATAGCTCATATGTGACTACTAAACACAAGGAATATCATAATATGAATCAACCGGCGTCAACTCATGAATAACACAGGTTGTTTCGCTGTACTGGCAACAGTTACCGAGAGAATTCGTATATTTATTTTGTAATAAAAGAAAAAAATCTGCGTAGGAAGTAATCAACAACAGAATGATTATTTCAAAACATGAATAGAAGATACGAAAAGATAAGTGCAGCTTATGTAAAGTAAAGCTTTTTACTGTTTTAGATCATAGCAGCAAAATGGGTGACAAAGACGAACCACAGATGTATAAAAAGCGTTATAAGATTGATAAGAAACTTGGTGCTGGAAACTTTGGTACAGCTTATCTCGTCACTGATCTGAAATCGAAAACTGAGCCGTAAGGATGCGCACATTTTCTCCGAAAATTGTAGTGTTCTTTCTTTTAGAAAAGTGTTGAAAGTCGTTCGACTCGGTGAAATGGACGAGAATGAAACAGTTGATTCTGTTCGTGAAGCCGAACTCCTCTCCAATTTACATAACGACTATATTGTCAAAGTAATTCATCGCAAGAGAAAAGTGCTAATTGACTGATGACGTTGTTTTTCAGTTTCATGAAAGTTTTCTCGAAAATGATTGTTTATGTATTGTAACTGAATTCTGCGAAGGTGGCGATCTTGATCAACGTTTAAAAGAATTGAAAAAACAAAATCGTACGTTAGAAGAAGATCAGGCGATTGAATGGTTAATCCAAATTTTAATTGCTGTTCAATATATGCATAAATCGAGAATTTTACATCGCGATTTAAAAGCAAGAAACATTTTTCTCAAAAATAATAAAATCAAAATCGGAGACTTCGGTATCAGTAGAATATTAGTTGGAACGATGGATGTGGCAACAACATTTACTGGTACACCGTAAGTATATTTTGTATTGATTTAAGAAAGAAGGCTCCTTGTTTTGCCGCTTGAAGTTATTATATGTCACCGGAAGTTATGAAACATGATGGATACGAAGCGAAATCAGATATTTGGTATGAAGACGTTTGGAAAATCGCTTTTTTGCCTCTAAGAAGTACTTTTCTAGGTCGGTTGGTTGTCTATTGTACGAAATGTGTACATGTCAACATGCTTTCGATGGTAAAGGTCTTATGAATGTGATATACAAAGTAGTGGAAGGAAAACCACCTGAACTACCCAAAACATATTCGAAAGAATTGAATGATTTACTGAAAAAGTAAGTTGTCATGTAGCTCTGAATAAATCTGGTACAATTCTTATTTGTTTAGAATGTTTATCAAGGATCCAAAGAATCGGCCAACTGCAGCTCAATTACTAGAAGCTCCCTTTCTCATCGGCCATCGTCAAGTATTACTTGTACAAATTCATCCGAACGTCTATTTCGGTTGTTTTTTGCTTCATAGAGAACCAAATTAACCGGTCCACTTGAGAACACAATCAATGGTAAACTTCGTTTAAACGAAATCAATCAACGATTGTAAATATTGATCGAAAGATTGTTTGCAAAAAACTAATGAATGATTGTGTTTTAGTGAGAAATCAGTAAATTATGGTGAAATGAGAGATCAAAAGTGGTCAGCGTACGGTAAAGATTTTGTTCCCAGTGATGAAAATGATAGTGAATCGGAAAATACTATTCAACAAAAACATCTGCCACCGGTGCATGATGAGCCCGAAGAAGAGGCAGAGGAAGATGAGGAGCAAACTGTGAAGCCTGCACAAACCATGAGCGCTACTCAACGAGCTTTGATGGAAAAGAAAATGAAAGCTGCAGATGCTAATGCACAACGTATTAGGTAATGAATGGGAAAAGGAAGAGAATTAGGAAACTATGATTGTTTCATTCGTAGTCAACATATTCAATCTGAAGCAGCTCGCAATCAGCAAATGCGGCGGGAGAAAACGAGTTTAGGAACGGTAAAACCATATGAGAACCATACTTCCATAGATACGAATAGTTGCGAATTTTAGATGAGACAACCCAAACCACCTGACGAGGACTCGGATAACCATGACGAAGAACCCGCCAATAACTATCCTCGAAGTAAGTGAAAATGAACCTACGTGTTCAACCAACCGAGATTTTCCTTTTAGATGCCGGTCCGAATCGTGGTGCGCCCAGACGTGCTCCGTTTGACGGTGGTTATGAAGATCGTCCTATAACACCAATGCGAGGATCGTACCAACAAGTTGCTGATAGATTGGGTGGTGATTATGATTCTGGATACACTGATCGACGTACGAATAATCAGAGTCCAACGCGTGATAACGAAAGAACATTATCAAGTCAACGAGCAATGTCAGCGTCACAACGTTCGATGGGTTCTACAAATTCAATGAGTCGGACGATTGGCCCACATCGTGCATCAAACTATCAACAACGAGAAAAATACGTGTCTCCAGCTAAAACACTTGGCGGTAGTATGACAAGAGAGAAGTCGACTTTATATGACGATGGTAGATGAAGTTGTTTTAAATTGAAAAAGAATCTAAGAAAGTTTTCTAGGTGCAACACTACGAGATGCTCCGAAGAATGATGCATATGGTCCACAAGCACGAGATGCAAAGATCCACAAATTACGAGCGTATGATGATACTGAGCTTTGTCTTCGAACTGCTTTTTTTGTGTTTTAGAACAGCAATTAGTAAATTGGGTGAAGCAACATTCGAAAAAGTGTATGATTACTATGTTAAACAACGTACGCTCCAACGAACGGATACAAATTTGGACGATGCCCAAATCGCTCAAGGCTTGAAATCAATTGTGAACAACACTACGAATTGTTTCGAAGTTGATCAGCTGGTTTTTCTTGAACTTATGCGAGAGTAATTGAATGTCTGTTTTCGATTCCATAGTCAAAACAAAAACAACATGTTCTTCATAGTTCGATTCGAGACTATGCACACAAAAAAAAACAAGTTCTATTATTTCCATCGCATAAATGATTAGAGTAGTATAGATTCAAATACAAACTTAACAGTTTTATTTTGATGCTTATCTAAAGGGTATGATGATCTGCATTAATAATTTATCGAAGCTGATAAAAAGCAAAGTTTAGTCTTTGTGTGATGAAACAAAGAAATTAACAGATGACAATGATCTTGAGCAAGTTATTTTTGCTCAAATGCTTGGATTTTGAATAGAGCACTTAATTCATTCATATGAGTTTAGAAATCTTTTATGATTCTCTCTTACGTTCTCTTTGTGTTCGGCGAAGAGGCTTCCCCCAATTGTTTAGAAAGTAAAATATGATCTGGATCGTTTTTCGTATTGAAAAATCCAGTGCGGCAATTGCCGATTTCAGAATAGGATCAGAAATCTAGGCCTATCCAATCGAAGGAAGTTAATGGCTTTTTAATGGAGAACCTTTCTTCTATTTCTCCATTGACTCCTGCGACATTCCAGTCGGAAGTCATGACTTTCATGAGAATTTAGTTGTTTCTTGAGATAGGAAGTGTGGTGATGGTGATAGTGGGCGTTGACAGCTAATAAACCAAGACTAGCCATTGTTGTTATTGATAGAGACACTTGTCGATATGATCTATCATAAAAAGGATGTTTGCTTCTTCGAACATGACACTCCATTAATAGAAGATAGTTTTCTGCATAACGGTAAAACTGTTCCACATTCTGAAGACGTGTGGTCATTGAGTTACAGGGAAACGATATAAGGGTGTGAACCATCCGTGCCGATAGCTGACTTTTATGAATTTTGTTTCTTCTATTCCAGTTAATAACTAAATTAGTTTTTCGGTACATGGAATAATTATAGGATGAGAGAAAACGATAACAATCTGTGTCATTATTCATAATAGGATGACACATTTTAGACAGATGTTTATTTGTATGTGGCATGGAACGGCTGGCCTCGTCGGAAAAGTCAGATTGGTCCCACATTGAACTCGTTAACAAAAGATGTGCAAAACATACTCCACGAACGTTTACTGATACTCGATCTGCTGCCCTTATACAAGCAATTAATGACGTGGGCGAAGGAATATTGAAAGAAAGTTTGCATTCAGTTTCTCAAGACTCGTCATCAATTGTTACAAAGTTGTGATCAACTAGCTTGTCTTGAACTCATGCAATGTGTGTTCATATCTTCTAATCGATCCTCTTTTCGGTTTTCTAATCTTCGTAATTTTATTCGAGGATGCATAAGGAAAGAAAACAAGTGCTTTTGTTCCGCATCGTTCTTTTGTCATGTTCAAAAAAGCTCTCCGATTATCTACAACATTTTTAGATCCTATCAAAAGCAGGAACGGATGAAAGCGCGCATACGATAATGAATTTATTCATTTCTAAATAGCGAGAAACACATTTTGTCCTCTATTTCCGTCTGAATTGCAATCAGGAATTTATCAAAAGACAAACCCGATTGCGAACAAATTCTTGTTAATTTATTAATTATTAAAAGCAAATACATTGTAATTGTTCAGCAGAGCATATGACATTTTAATAAATGAACATCGCATATATAAAAATTCCTCGATTTCGGTGACGCGTTTCTGTTCTTTCTCTCTTATTATTGTCATAAATCATCTGAAAGTAATCTTCTGTTCATCGTTCTTTCTCTTCTTATTCAGTGTTAATCAAATAATCATAGTGAAAAAAAACTATCAGCAATAAAAACTTCGCTCACTCAATCACATGATAGAATAGAGCAAATCCGACTCTCTATCTATCTCGTTTGATGTTTACTATTTGATTCGATTTCTTTTATTTATTCATCGTTAATCTAATGAATATGTATGTGAGTGAAGAATAGCACTCTGCTTTTTCCTCTATAGCGATAAAAAAAAAAAGAATGTTCTGTATGTCTATTCATCGGCTTCTATAGTACTAGTCAATAAGAATAGAACAAGAGTCTCTATAGAAGAAAGATAAATAGTATTATAACGACCTGTTAACATTCGTCGCCTTCAGTACGATTAAATCAAGTCAAGAATACGTATGAACAGATCAAATGTATTCCTCAATGATATTTTGGCAACAACGGCGACCACAAATCGGCCGAGACGTGATTATTATGTAACCAATCCATTCGATTCGTGGTATGTAGGTGGACTTCTATTCATGTGCACAATTATGTTAGTGCTTCTTTATGCGAACTATTATCGGGAAAACTCGTGTCAAGAATGTTGGTTTTATGTTTTGAAAAAGTTGGGCTTTACACAAACGCTACCGGCAGCTGACAGCCGTGCTTCGATAAACCATAGAAATAACCCGCCGCTTCTTGTTTAAAAAGTCCAAATTCAATGAATCTCTCGGCAAAAAAAGATAAGAATGGAAGTACAATCGAGTTATGTTCTTTTATTGTTTATCAACAATACCACACGATGTGACAGCGAACATATTCCATATGGATATTAACCGCATCGTTTTCTAATGATCGATATTTCATATAAGACCGATTACGATCTAAATTGATATTCATTAATCTGTTGAATACTTCTATTCAGGATGTTTTCTGCATGACTTCTAATTTAAATGTAATTCCGATCCTTTTTTAGAACAATACCATGCGTGTCTAATTCTTTCATAATGTAGTTCCTCGATCTCAATCGTTTCGATGAAATATAGAGTTTATCGACTTGCCATTTTGTATTTATGTACATTCGAGGAATAAAACTATTCTCAGTCCAGTTGAAATGAACTTTTGTTATTGTTGATTCAGTATTGTGATCTGTTAGTGTTTCCAGCACGTATTTTCCACGTGGTATTATAAACTTCTCTATTTTTATCACGCAAATGATGAAATCATCGAAGTGCACGTTTGTCTATAGCCCACGTATAGGATGGCGACCTCTATCTTCCGGTGATTTCTTCATTTGTCCACTTGAGGTCTTTGTCTGCTGATATCCTTTATCTCGATCTTCTTCTCGACGTTATTTCACAAAATTCCATCATGGCTGACGTATCGATTCGCGATGTGTTTCTCTCGATGCAATTACCGCCTGTCGATGAAATAGTTGCCACATCGAAAACTGGTGATTACTGTCGTCTATGCATTCTTTTCGTTTACGTTTCTATGTTTAGATTTTCGAACTATTCGGAAATCTCGTCGTTCATGTTACCGATCATGTATGTGTGTTTATAAATGACATTCGATACATTCGTTCTTTTCGTAGATCATGTCCCGAAAGCTGAAGAAACGACTGATACCTCAAATAATCTCCTCGATGAATTAATCGAGACAATACATGCGAAAAATGAACATTTGAAAGAACATTTGCATCAGGAGAATCAGGCAATCGAAGATTTGTTATGTAAAAAGTTCGTTTTTTTGTTCTGAACAGGAACAACGACATACAATATTGATATTTCGTTTTGTAGACGAGAAATTGACCTATGGCGTCAACTAACCAATTTAGTTATTCTTCCATCAAATCGAAAGAAATCTTTGGATGAGCAACTGATTGCTTGTAAGTCACTTGCTTCAGTTCCTACTGAAGACCACTTCTTTTCTCAATTTCAGACGATTTGACTGAAAAGAAAACCGTGGAGTTCCGCAAAGATGAGAACGAAAGCGCTCAATTAAAAACTTGGAATTACATTGGCCGCCATTTAACTGACAATTTAATCGAGAATGTTTTTCGTGATTCGAATAACATCAATACCAATAGTGCATCCACGGGGCATCACGCTATCAAAAAAGCTCGACGAACGAATGACGGCACACAAAAGATGCGACCAAGTACCAGCAAGGCCACAACGATAAGTACGGCTTTACCAACGAAAAATAAACGAGCGACGCGACGCAGTCGCATGTGAACACATCGTGCACTTTTTTTTGCATTGTTATTATTGTACACAATAAATAATTCTTTGTAGATAAGAGAAACATGCTCATATAAGATAATCTGATTTTGATTTCAGATTCATTATCATTTCCTAACGAAGCAACATGGCCAAAGCTCCACTTAAGCAATTATCGGTGAACACTTTTGAAAGCGTTCGTATTAGTTCACCAAAATCGTCAACAAAGAAGGTAAAGCTATGAGATACTCGACGGAGAATCTATATTAACCATTTGTTTTCCTGCAGAATGCATCAGGTATCATTGATGCACACTCGATTAAGAAAAAGAACGCTGTTCGTAAACAGCTCATTCCCGTTGAAGAAGCAACGCTTGATATCCCATCGATCGTTCAAGCTGGTACGCGCATGTCAGCTCAAGAGTTCGAAGCATTTGTTCAAAGTAATACATCGTTTGTGTATCAACGAACTTACTCGTTTTTTCGTAGAAACAGCACCTGAATCTTATTGGCATATCATGGCTGAACATTACCGAGTGAAACTCGAAGACGTCACGCGTGAAAATCAACAGGTACGAAATGAACGGGCACGTCTTCCCTATTGAGACGAGTTTTTCATTTAGCTTCATGAAATTATCGATGATTTGAATGCGGACAATAATAATTTACGCGTAGTTGCTGATCATTGCGAATACTTAACAGATATTATTGAAGTAAGATTTGTGTTTCTTTGATATTTTTGTATATTAATTGAGTTGAGTTTTAGAAATTAACGAGCGAAGACGAGAATGAAACTAAGAAGAAATCGTCAGTTTGTGTACGATTGTTTTGATGATCTTATAGAATAACATACGAACATTATATTATATCTCTAGCAATATTTTCTTGTGTTTATTTTTGTGATTCTTTATTTGTAAATAAAGTGAAAAACTAATCGATGTTGTTACATAAACACAGAGATTGAAAATAAAGGCGAAATTGATTTTCATACGAAATCTTTGGTTAGAGTTTTGTTTGGATATATTCAAGTTTCTTTCGAGAATTTTCAAGCTTTGGATGATTCAGAGGTAGCGAACGTCGTTCGATTTCTATAGCACGCTCATAAAATGTATTGGCTTTTGCGTAACTACCCATCCCTTCATAAACCGTACCGATACTTACATAGGACGAAGCCAAGTCAGCATGATCAGAAGGTAGTATTTGTTTTCGAATAGATAGACCTTTGTCATAGAAAGAAAGCGCTGTTGGCAAGTCGCCCATGCTCTGATATACCGATCCGATATTACTGAGACATGTCGCCACGTCGGGATGATGCGGAGGAAGAGATTGTTTTCGAATTCGAAGAGCTTCTTGGTGTGATAAAAGTGCATTTTCGTAGTCGCCCATCTTTTGATATACTGAGCCGATGTTGTCGTAACATGGAGCCAGATCAGGATGGTTAGGTGGAAGTGCTTGTTTGCGAAGTGTCAAAACTTTTTCGTACGCTGACAACGCTTTTGGATAATCGCCCATGTTGCAATGCACCAAACCGATGTTGTTGTAAGAAGTGGCCATGTCAGATTGATTCGAGGAAAGAGCTTTATGATAGATACCAACTGATTTTTCATACAATGACACTGCTTCTTGATACTTCTCTTTATCGTATTTAATCATGCCGTGTTGATGGTATACGGGTGCCTTTTTATTGACATTATCACGATGATTGGGAACTTTCTCTTTAGCATCTTCAGCTTTATTCCATTGTTCTATTTTGAGTATCAATGTGCCCAGCCTGTACCATCCATCGATATGCAATGGAAATTGTTTTCGGATGCGATCAGTCAGCGCGTTCAAATCTTTGTCGCTGTCACTGCTCAACGCTAGTTTCACTTCATAGAGTCGACTCTTTCCATTCATTGATTTTAATTCATGAATTTTGAAAACAGTATGCATTGGAAAGAGAACTTCATCTTCATTTTGATAATAGCTGACATCACGAATAGCAGCAAAAGGTGTACTGGACCGAATCTGATCAATGTTCATGATAAAAACCACACCCACTAAGTCCGGATTGACGGCAGCATTTTGAGCGAACTGAAGTGAAACTTGTCGAGTTTTGCTGGTGGATAAGAAACTGTTAAACGATATCAACCCATTTTTACTTTTCTCCATACTTTCGAAGTCCGTCTTCGATAGACCTTGACCACGGTAAACCGTGAAGCTTTTCGGACTAGAATGGTCAACATGTTGTTGTTTATGAAGTCGGTCGATATCGCGATGAAGATCGCTAATAAAGAATCCCATTTGTGTTATCGTATCTCCATCCATCAATCGTAACGCGCGATTAAGCATCGGATACAGAAATGTATCATAAGAATACCACCAAATGGGTGTTTTCTGTCGGTATTTGTTCTCGAATTGTTGCACATTATCTAATTCTTTTTTATTATTGACAAACGTATCTCGACAGTAGTCGGCATACTTCGCCACATGCTTGTCTTCGAAGTTCAGAGTGAGAAGTATTTCTTTCAGCATCTGCGTGTACATAAACGAAGGATCGAGTTGATCTAATTTCTTATCCGGTGGTACGAAACAAATTGGCATAGAATTGTGTTCGCAACGTTGAGCGGCCTCCTTGAGTGCTTGGCAAATCGATGCAATGTCCGTAAAAACGCCTTGTATCTTCGGCCAGTTCTTCGCCCATTGTTCGTGCATTTTCTTCTCGCCACAAAAGATAAAGATCGAGTCCATTTGAGGCATACTATGAATCCGAGGTACGATCTTTTGTCCCAACGATCCTGACGCAATCAAACATGCCTTCTCGTCTTTAATATCTCGAATAAAATCCACACATAGATCAACATCTATGAAGGTATCGATACTGCTCGCCACCGATTGCAATTGAGTAAGTGTATTTTGACAATCGTCACTTTTACCATCGATATTACTGTCCAACCAGATGACGAGAACAGTTTGCATTCGTCTTCGGTTCACCCTTTGTCGTTCATTGGATTGCTTGGAGATTGTCGAAGATTGGTCGGACCTTTCTACATCGATTGATCTTCTACTTGCCATGAATTTTGAATTGACGAGACGCTGGAGAATGACTCCCTATTCAGCAAACTCGCTATCAAAAGATTGATGAAATTATGGTTCATTGCGCAAGTTAATAGGTTTTAGTTTTTTTCTTCGTCTGCTAATATGGGGTCAAATCTTTTCTTTCCTTCGAAATGTAGAAAATAACAGTCCGTTAAGTATTCACAAGTTACTTTTGCGTTCTGTTTTTGATGTAAGATATTCATTGCAAGGCAGTGAGGTATGACTGCCATAGTACGAGAAACGTATTTAGTAATTATGGATGAGTAACTACGTTATTTCTCCACGTTGACGATTTCAATCAGTACTTATCGCAAAATACGATCAAAGATGCAAAAACTATATCAACATTTCGATAGTTTTATTCAAAAATATGCTCTCTGAAGGATTCTTTATCTCATTCGAAATAGAATACAATCCGACACATAAAAACTCGTTTGGGTGGAGTTTTACACATATAGATTCAAAAATACACACATGTACAAACATAAGTCAACGTCAGTTTGTTGAACTATCATCAAGAAGACTGTCATGTTCATGAGTAAACGACTAAAATACAAGTAGAACTAGAATCGACTTTTTTAGAAAGAAATTGCGCTTTACGTTGAGAACACTTTGTAAATAATCGTGATGACCAGCGACAACGCGAAGTTGATCGTTTTCTTTACTCAATCCATCGATAAGATTATGTAGCTAAGCAAACGAATAATCAAGAGAGGAACTTGTATGAATTGTGTTTTACTTGTTGATTTTCAAGAATGGTATCTTCAATGGCCTCTTTTCTTCGTTCAGTCACTATTTTCCAGTAGGCCTCCGACGCTTCGTCTACAATGCAAATAAAACTAAAAACTTTCACAGAAAACAAACCGTATCTGTACTTTGCAGGAGCATTTGAACAAACTCCTCAGTACCGCTTCCGTTTTCCATTGCTCGTGCCATTTGTTCCGCGTAATTCGGAGTATTTGAACCAACATCACGGGTACATTGAATTTGTTCAGTATTAACACCGACACTTTGGGGGATACTTAGTGTCGAAGACTTTGCTTTTTGATTTCCTGATCGATTATTTTCAATCGAATGAAGAAGCGAAAGTTTTGTTGGAGATTTTTGACTCATAGTAAATCGTCTTGACTCGAAATCTATACGAATTTTTCTTCCGTTCAGTTCAATGTTCGTCTTTCGAATAGAAAACAAAGTGGCAGTGTTATATATCAATCGCGGACTTTGTCGATAGGTGTCAGTAACCGAAAATTGCTATCATTGGACATGGCATAGCTCCGCTTGTTTTCTTTTGACAGCCGTTCGTTTTATTTTCGAAGGGAAGATGATCACTTCACCGAGCATAATCGAATCTCGTTTAAATGCATCAACAATTCGCTCCGATCCCGATACAGAATCGAAAGTGCGCTCATCAATACGCGCAATCAATGAAACTATTCAATCGAACGCGAATGAACCATCATTAGCTTTTTATCGAATTCAAGTAATTGTTGATTGTTTGTTTATACCTCGTTGAAAAATCGATGTTTTGTTTTCGGTGTAGGAACATGTACGACGAACTTTACCGACGATGGTTCAAAAACGAATGGAATTGGAGAATTTACACGAGCGGATGAATGGATTGATATTTGATGTAGAATATAGTGTCGATGCAGTGAAATCACTTGGAACTAGCGATGAACATTTCAATGTAAGACACGACATTTGGTTCGGGTTGAAAGTGTGAATTGTTTTTTTTTGTTTCATAGAATATTGCGACTTATTTGGAAAAATCTGTGTATATTAGTAAACAAATGAATCTCTTGAAGCAACAGTTAATTCAACAACAATTCTTGGAGAAGCAAGGTGAACCATAGAAATGACTGTATCTTCTAAGTATTTGTCGTTTCGTTTTTTAATGTCAATAAAAGATTAATCAATCTATTTTACACTCATTCAAAGTCGGACAATCCTGTATATTCTTGTGCTATTGTATAATCATCGACGTTTGTTTCGCTCGACAGCAAAGATTGAACAGAGTTTCGTGCCATTAGATTATCAAAGTGACTCTTTCAAAGATCAAAGAATGTCAGCATCCAGATCAGATCAACTCGCGCTTATGAAATATAACTTATTGCATTAATTTTTAATGGATTACTATAGAAGGATTTTCATAAACATCATCTATTTATTAAATAATACAAATTTTCAGCAAGGAAGAACGAAAATAAAACTCTATCATTAGATCTAAATGGATGCCAAGCTGAATTCAGCTTGAATCATAGAATTCACTTTCAACTAATTTCTCTCGGAATAATTTATACCAAGCCAGGGTATGTTGAGTTAATGTTAAGTGATCGAGTTGAATGAAAGCTTCTCCAATACATTGGTTTTTCTCGAATTTGCCCGCACGTTGCCAGACTGTTACTTGAAGACGACGACCTTAACATAAATATCGTAGAAAATCAGCAGATCACGAGAGAAAAGATATGAGTAGGTACCCATGACATTACAAGCATTGTACTTTAATTTAGCATGATATTCTGGATTGTAGCTGCCTTTCACCGTTGCTGTTTTACGTTTTTGTACGCGGCGCGTGCCCGTGCGAAGATATCTATGTAAACATGAAGGATAGTTTCGCACATGGCAGCAAACCAATTTCGGTTTTACTTACGTTTTCACGTAAGTATCTGGAGGATTCTCTTCATTTCTAGCTGCAGTCATGTTATTATTGGGGTTATGAGGATCGTTATCATTAATCACTCGTTCCAGTCCTCTGGCACAGACAATATCAATTTCTAGAAGGCCTTTCGTGACAATTAAACCTAATTGAATTTGTCCCATGTAGATATAATCATTAATCATATTTTCGTAGTTTCTCGGTGTAACTTGTCCAGGTCCAACCGTATGTGTTTGAACATTATTGTTCTCGGTCATCTGCTCTGCTGCTTGATGTTGTTGTTGCTGTTCTGTCAAGGTGAAATAACGATCAATATCTTCGTCACTTTCACAATAAGATGCCGCTGATGATTTCCGCGAGCCTGATATCGATGAATGCCGCGATGATGGAATAAAAGGTAACATTAATTGTCCTATTGGCATTTGCTGCAATGGAATCGGACGTATCAGTGTTTGTTGTTCGTCGTGATGTATTGCCGATGATGGCGGTACGGGTGGAGGGGGCAGTGGAGGTACGATGCTTTGCCGGGGAGATTTATTCATCACTGTAGGTGTACTGTCAAACGAGACGCCACATGTTGGCAAATCAATGTCTTCTTCGCTATCAAGATTGGGTGGCATTTGTGATGAATGTTTTCTTGATGTTGGACTGTCGATCGATGATTTTGGTGATGATTCACTGTGACGTCTTGTTTGCATATCGAACAATTTCAGAATTCCTTTAGATATTCGACGCTTAAGTTTAACCGATTGAACAACCATGGTCGAAGCTCGAGGAGAAGCAGGTTCATCGTTGTCTTCGTCTTCGATACTGGTCATAATTATTGATGGTATAGTGGGATTTTTTGCACTTGTCCGCTGTAATCGTTTATCTGTTGCTGATGCCCGTCGATTCGAGTCGATTTTATTCGTTGCTGAACGATTCAATGCTCGCATTAACAAGTCAGTCGACGTTCGCGTTCGTTCTTGATGTTTATTTCCGGACGATGATGTGACTGTTGACGATGATGAGGGTACCAAAGGTGGCATTTTTCGAAAACTATCTCCACTTTCAGCCGATGACGATTTGAACGTTACGCTCGATGTTGACGGCTTTCGTGTTTGACGATCTCGAAGTTCGTACCATCGTGGTTCATCTTCTAGATTTGCTTCACTTAGTGGCAATTGTATCATGCCGAGAAATTCATCGCATTCTTCTGTACTATTGTTAATTGCATGTCTATCTGCTTGATTTTGTTTTTTATCCCAGAGTAAAACTTCTAGATGAAGCACATCGACAGTTTCGACTTCATGAAACACAAATGTTTCATTATAAATTGGATTCGAAGAATGTATCACTTTGGTTTCGAACATGTCAAAGCCGCGATCTTCAAACAGCATTTTACCAGTTATGAATGTATATGGTTGGTCACCATTGGTTCGTAAAGGTAAATTACCAGCTTGAATGATCGTTAAAGCTAATTTCATATCTTCGACATCATGCCAAATTTGTGCTAAAATAGAACAAGTTAGTTTTCAACGAGTATCCCATTTCTATTCATTGTCTCATCTAAGAATTGAAAATCTTGTCACACAATACACGACATGTGATTAGTTTTAGTATTCCCAAGATGACTGTAGTATTGAAATCTTACCGAGAAGTCGGCCGCGATTGATTAGGATTGGTTTCAATTCTTTGACATTTGGCACTTCGAGAGTTTCGACAGTTTCGTACAAATCTCGTTTTTGCTGCTTGGGAAATGATGATGATAATGACGGTGGCAGAGGCGGTAAATTTCGTCGTTTGCGTGTCAACGATGATGCTAACCGTGGTACAGTTTCGAAATGTCGAGAAATTTCAATTGATGATAAAGCTTGACCACCACTGATTTGTAATCGCACATTGTTATGTTGTACAACTAATTGAACAATATCACCACAATAATCTTGTAGAATTCGAACTTCTTCGTAAGTTGACTCGATCAATGAATGACCATTGAATTCCAAAATTTGATCGCCTACTTCAATGTTACCTTGAACATCAGCTGGTCCGCCATGTAAAAGATTGGTGACAAAACATCCTGAAACAAATCAAAGATACTTGCTCGAGCAGGTTTTCCGTTTCTATTCATACCAAGACTGCCGTCTTCACATTCCTGGCCACCTACAATTCGCATTCCGAGACCATTGGTCCGTATCGAGGTATCGTTTTTATCTCGGTGTAGCAAAATTCGATGTGGATTCGATGGCGGTGTTCGTGCACGTAATTTAGAACTCTCTTCTGCATGTAAGAAGATGTTTTCACATGTTTCAATCGTTTTTCGTCGATCGCCACCCGACGCTGACGATGGAAGTGGTATGCCAAGCGTTGATGCAGCGTTCGTTGACTGTGCAATGGAAGCAAACTCTGCTTCCGAGTTACAACCATAATAATACTCTTCCGACAACGTCTGACGACGCAGTTTCGGTGGTTTACTAGAATATAGAAGTCAAAGAATCCGCTTTATAGTTCACACGCAACCCTGCTGAGTTCAACAAGAGAATAACAGTTCGTCTGGATAGAAGCAATTACCTTAATGCAATCTCAATACTGTTGTCTTGCCGGATGATAATTTTTCGTGGTACTTTTGGTACATGCTCTCGTTCTAAACTAATTGAAAAAGTATCACCTTGCTGTTTGGAAATTTTCGAATATAGCATTCGTCTTCGGACAATATCGGACAGATCTGGCGCTTTGCGTACTATGCATGGATAATCAAGTGAGCGTTGAGGTAACAACGACGTATTATTAATGACAAGAAATGACTTTCGTCGTGCTAGATTAGACACGTCCACTGATTTTGCATTGGGTGATTGATGAGTGTGGAATAGTTTGGTATGTGATGAACGTGTTTTCAAGGAAGAATCAGAGTCGATACTTTTCGAACGATTACTGAGAGAGTTTTCACGCATTGGATGTGTTGGATATTCGTTGGAGGAGTGTAATGATGAAGACGTAAATATGACTTCATCGGAAAGATTCGTCTCCCTATTATTTGTGGTTGACGATGATGAATGTTTGCCAGGTATTTCGGGTAGACGTCGAGATGAACGTCGCCGACGGTGCGTGTCCTGAGAACTAAAACTTGACTCATTGTTTTTCAAATGTCTCATCGTCGAGGCTAAAGTTGGCGATAGATTCTGTTGATCAATATGTGGAATAGAATCAGTCAAAGACGTTGTATTGTCAAAATTCGGATATGTTTGATCGTTGTTGGTCGATTCCATACCTTCGAATGTTGTTGTCCATTGATAACCACGATGCATCAATGCTCGTTTTCGGGCCCATCCTTCAGCATTTCGAAGGCCTGACCGGCTCTTTCGTCTAAGATTGTTAGTTGCTGACACAGGATTGTTTTCCGTTGTTATTGGCGGTGTACTATTACTTATTGATTGCGTCGTTATCATCGACGTTGCGAGATAATCCATGGCCTGAAGACAATACGAATGAGATTCATGTGATTTAATTCGAAATTAGGATCACCAAAATGAATCACTAGTGACATTTCAAAATAGGTCTCATGTCTTTTTATAGGTTATACAAACAGAACGGATTTCTTGATCGTCATTAAATGACTACAGACTGAACGAAGAGCGGAAAGAATGCCTACTAATCTGACATGATCGTGTAGATTGCGACGCATGCACGTTACCTTGTATTATTATATCCTTGTCTTGTGTTTCCGTTCTCGTTCGTCAAAGATAAGCATTTGAAAGGAAACATCTTTACAATTTTCTGCTCGTCATCTATCTTGATAAAAGAACAAGTTCTTTCATCTATATGTCAAAATATGACAAGATCACTAACGAATAGAACGAATTATACACGAATTCAATGATTAGTTCTGCTACTTACCATGCTCACATCAATATTCGCTTCGGGTGAAGCGAGACTACCGCTACAATGTGATAAAATCATCTCCTTAGGCAAAGATGTCTTCTGATGCACTAATAATATCACAGGTTTCGCTGACAGACTTAACCGCCGCTGTCGTTCATCGTACGTTAATCTACGTTTGCGGCCACAATTTTCATCATAATCATCATCGCCATCATCATCGACAATGCCCGGATTACTACTGTCAATATTCGTTTCAAAACTTTGAGAATACAGTTCACTAGCGGTATCACATGGATGTTCGGATGTTGTATCTTCAAACGATGGATCAGTTATGACACTCGATATTGTTGGCTGCGGGCGAAGAGGCGGTGGGGGCGGTCGCAATGGGAGTAGCGGTTGCAAAGGCGGAGAAAGTGGTACTGGCACTGGCTGTAGCGACAGAAGTAATGGTGGTGGTGACGGTAACGACGATGATGATGGTTGTAGTGGCGGTGATGACGGCACCGGTGGAAATGGAAATAGATGTGAAGAGGTTTTAATTGATACTTCACGTATAAATGAGATACGACGAGTTGATTTCGGTGTAGCTGATAAAGTTGACGATGTCTCGGACAGTGCTGGACTATATTCAGGCGCAAGATCGGTTAATGATGAGTGTATTTCATTCGACGTTATGAGAATTGGGGATGGCGGCGGATGATTCGTCGTCGGACGCCATAGGCGAGCAAAGAAGTTTGTTGATTCAGTTAAAATTGTTGGTTTACGTTCATTTTGAGGTGACACAGACGGCGTCGAAGTTGCAGATGTTGGAGCTGTGGTCGACGCCCGATAAGCTGCCAACTTCTGTAAGAGTCGAACCGGTGAATGAACGGACACTTCACCTTCATTCACATTCCATGAACCTCGAAAAAGATGCATTTGTTGAACATTGAATAGCACAAGTTGGAAACAAAATAATGAAACTGTGAATAATGCGATCTCAGCTCTGTAATAATAATGCAGAAAAAACGACGAGCATGTCGCAGAAAAAAGACGAGAGAGTATGTGTAAGAGAGAGAGAGCGAGAGAAAACCTCGGCTGAACTGTAATTTACTTCTTTCTTCGTGCTTCGTTCTTCTACACTGCTCTCTCATATTTTCAAACGACATTTATAGATGAAATCGATGCCCTTTTCTTTCTTTCTTTCTTTATTCATCGAATACTTGTAATTTAGATTTTCCATTCGAAGAACATACCCGATTTCCTGACCACTTCACGTCGTACAATACACATCCGACAACGCCATTTCGATGTAACACTTTGATTTTCAGTATTACTTTCATAATGCGCTCGGATTAGCTCAGGTGAAGTATAATTACCGCACCGTCGACAAACCGGTTGATGGCAATCGGCACACAGGACGGGTGGTGATAGCGGTAACTGATTGGACTGAACGTCAATTGTGGAATAACAAATGTAACACTGAATTATATCTGATGATGATAAACAGGTTTGATTTTGTTGTACCGGCGAAGTACTATTTGACGAATACGGTCGTTGTCGTTGATATTCATTGCTGATTGTTTGCTGTAGATGTACCATCGTGCGCCGTAGGCCGGATAATCGTTGATTGCGCTCACATTCAATGAGCACTTGCTTCTGTAGAACATCTTCTAATTGTTCAAGTTCGTCCGGTGTAAATGTCGAGAAATCAGGAGAAGGTAATCGACTAGATGTATCAGTAGACGCTGTCGCTTTTGGCTGCATAATTATGTGATTTAACAACAACGTCACACCCACTTGATAACATCAACAGCAATATGCCTCAACTCTTTGAAGACAAACATAGACGAACGAGCTCAACTTGTCTTCACCAAGCTTTTCCTTCTTCCCTCTCTCTCTCTCTCGCGTTCCTCAAGCATAATTTGAAAAAATGTTCTGTAATGAGTGACGCACGGCATCATTCTCAAGAGAACTGAAAAGATCCTCTTTTTTCTTCTTGCCGTGTGTTTCAGATAAAGCTAGTCGTAGATGTCTACTATGAGCACGCATACACATAATGTAGACACAAAAGATTGAGTGTTCGCTATCTTTATCCGTGTTTCTCTTTTTTTTTTATTCTTCAAATAGAAGAATACCGACTCCACTGAAACTCTAATGATAGCCGTGATGAAACTGGAGAGAAGCAGATTTTCACGTCTATTCATATCTGTCATTCAATACATTGCCAGTTCTACTATATGAAGGATTATAAGTTAGAAGAATATTGGCGGTTAGGACGAGAAGAGATTGTTCGATGATTCAGCCTTGCCCTTGACGAGACGAACATTTACAAATCATGCTAATGGAAATAGTACGAATTAGGAAATCGATAAATAAAATGAGCGTGTTAAAAAGGAGAAAAAAACAACTAATTCTCATTTCTCCTCGATATACTTCCATTCACAACTGCTAATTACGGAAATGTCGAAAAAACAATCAGCATTTCATTACATTTCCTTTTCTATGTCATTTTTTGCGATGATTATTATTGATCAACATGTTCTTCCAAATAACGTATAAAGTGTACTTTCCAAGTGTCAAACATCAATTTACTTTTTCTTTTTCTATTGGTTCTATCAACATATCGAAGACGGAAAAGACATGTTCATTTACACGAACAGATAAGTTTCAATTGGCACGAAATCTAATTATAAAATCTAATCTCGTGATAAGTACCACGCACAAATGTTGTACTCAACGAGATGAACAATTTATCAACAGACTCAAGTATAACAAGCGAATTTCATGTTGATTAATCCAACTATTATGTACATCTAGATGGCGAAGTACGGCGAGAATCTAATGGTTGGATATTTGATCTTCAATTCAATTAAACAGTCTTACGTCAATAACATCTTTTTCCGAGAAAATCTCATTAACACGCATAATTGTCTCTTGATCAGATCTACAGTTATTAATAGATCGTTGATGTCTTTTCTTCGACAATTAGTAGATACTCGATGCATTTCTCCAAAAAATTATGCATCATTACATGACTAAAATAGATTTCATATTTATTTAATATGATTGCAATTTTAGAAATAATCAAATATGTATCACTTTCTCTTTCTGCGTATATATATGTGTGTGTGAATGTGTTCTTTCAATTGTGGCAATACATTTCAATCGAATAATGAAGTCGTGGTGGAAATTAACAGTCTAGCTGCAATGAATTTCAAAGTGTAAAACTAATTTTCAAGATGGTGAATTCAAGAATATGTGGGAAATGGATGTTAAGTGAGAGAGTGCGTTGCAGATGTCACTGTCGATCGATTCGACGACTGTTCGAGAAGTGTTCGCATCGATTGGTTATGAAATTAATCTTCAGTTTACTTGCTTGTTTTCTTTTTTTCTCGTCGCTATTCATTGAACAAACTTCATTCTATACAACATCATGTCTGTAGTAGCAAATTCAGCGAATACTTCGACGCAGTTAGTCCGTTCGAATTGGTCGGAGACAAATGCAGTGGTATCATCACCAACAAATTCATCAACAGTGAACAATTCGGTGAATTTACCGTCATTCACACCTGATGAAAGCAATAACATCAATTCAACACTTAAATCTTCAACGATAGCGTCTTACGATAATGGGCATTTACTTGAAACGACAGCATTAGAACGAACAATACAAACTTATCCATTAACAAACTATACATTTGGTACAAAAGATCCGCTGTACGAGCGTGACAGTTCCGTCCAAGCGAGATTTCAACGTATGAGAGAAGAATTCACAACATTGGGTGTTCGACGCAGTGTTGAAGCAGTTCTCTTAGTACATGAACATAATCTACCTCATATACTCCTTTTACAATTAGGCACAACCTTTTTCAAATTGCCCGGTATGAGAAACGATGATAGATATGATCTCTGCATTTCAATTTTGCATCTTAGGTGGTGAACTCAATCCAGGCGAAGATCCCGTTGAAGGTTTGAAGCGTTTGTTGAATGAAACTATAGGTCGGCCAGAGTCGAGCGAACAAAACAATTGGCTTGTAGAAGATGTGATTGGCAATTGGTGGCGACCGAATTTTGAAGCACCACGATATCCATACATTCCCGCACATATCACAAAACCAAAAGAACACATTCGGTAACTTTCAGTGATGTTTATTACCATCGATTATCTTTCGTTTTAGACTATATCTCGTTCAACTTGGTGAATCAGCAATGTTCGCTGTGCCACGCAATTACAAACTAGTCGCTGCACCTCTATTCGAACTCTATGATAATGCTTCGGGCTATGGGCCGATCATCTCAAGTTTACCACAAGCACTTAGTCGCTTCAATTTTATTTACAATTAATATCAGTGTTGTCTTTATGAAGAAAAAGCCTAGAAAAATGAAGAACGTTTTTGTCTGTGTTTTCCTTTTCTTTCTTGTTATTTTATTGTCCTAGTCGGAAATAAAAGTTCCAGAACATCATTGTTGTACATGTAATGTGTATATGAATTTGTATGCAAAGTCAGATGTCAAAGGTGTTTGTTTTTCCATTTTATGTTTTTTTTCTGGTATTGAACAACGATGAAAAGAATGAATTTATTAACTTATCATTAAAAATAGAAGGCTTAGCTCAAGGTTCGAAAAACTCATCATCATCATCATCATTGATATCGTCATCCTCGTTCTCCTCTTCCTTCGGATCGGTTTTCGTCGATGAATCTGTGGTCGATTTCGTCGATTTCTTTTCGTTTGTACTTGCTACACCACGAGTTTGTTTACGAGTTGACTTTAGTTTATATTGCGGAATAGCGTCGTCCTCATCATCATTATCTTTTGCGTCTTCAGTTGTCGCGATCGACGCCGGTGCTCGAACCGATATAAATTGATTATCTTCATCATCGGTGAGAATTGGTTTCTTTGCCGGTCGACGAAAAATTAGTTGTGATTGAACACCTTCTTCTTCTTTCTCGTGATCGCTATCTTTGGTCACCGAAGACTTGACGCGTGTCCGAAGAAAATCATTCAGTGCATGTTGATTACCTCTACTACTTAAATGATGTTCATTGACATCGTCTAGATCGTATTTTTTCCATTTATCCGCTGGTCGAGTGAATGTATCGTCTGCTGGACGTTTTTTAAATGTGATTGCATGACTTGGAATGGTCGGGTTTCGTGGTATCGTTGAAGACGTTTCTTCGTCGGTTATAATGACAGGAGTTTGGGTTTTTGCATGTACATCATGTTGCTTTTCGAGATTGACAAGTTTATCGAAAACGTCGTTGGAACGCGATTTGAAATCCGAAGAAGAATTGGTCAATTGATAGAAATCTATTGAAGAGAAAAGAAAACCTATTCGTCTTTTCTTCACACTCTCGCGAAACTTTGCTTCTCGAAATTCTCGTCTTCCAACAAGAATACCTGACATATTGATAGACAATTTCTTCGTGACGATGATCTACAATTACGAAATAAGCTATGTGGTTGTTAGTCTTTGTAATTTATTCAAACAAAGAAGTACGTTCTTTTTTAATGACATAATCAACTTTATACTACGCGGTTAGCGAAAGAATGAAAATACGGGATGTATACTAGAAAACGTAGGAGGAGGAAATGGATTTTCGAGGTTCATTTCATTGTCTATTTCTGTTCATTGCCAGCTTCTTCTTCAGGGGGCTTTTCATCGGCAAATTGACTGGGTAATTTTCGTGCGCATCGATCGTGTTCCCAATTGGCCCAAGAATAGATTGAATAGCCAAGCAAAATATTTGGTACCCAGAACGTCAAAAGAGTTTTGAAAAGTCGTGAATAATATCGATATGAAACATCACCAAGTAGACCAGCATATGGATTTTGTTCATATGGTGAAAGGGTATATTCAACCTATGAAACAAACGAATCAAAAAATATATGTACAGAAAATCATTCGACGTTACTTTGCCACGTTGTTGACCAATTCTACCCCAAACCATACCCAATCGATTTAATGACAGACGCATCTTGCTATTATCTATTGAAATTTAAAAAAAAAGATCGATTTGGATTATATTCAATCTACTAGACAGAAGTAAATAAGAAAACATTCGACTGATTTACAAATAAACTATAGACAGTAGATGAGCGGTTTACCAATAGAAACGAAAGTTTCGCATAGATGTCGCTCAAGATCAACAGAACAAGATAGGAACTTCCATATGATTTTATTGTAACACTTCTTAATAAGTAAAAAATACACGGATGAGATTGTACATTTCATTTATCACAGAGTGTCAATGTTCGGTTGAGTTCGACTGATTTTTGACAGAAAAGAATTTCTTATTCATTTTGATAAAGCTGAATTCAAACGCCATGTGTGGATTGTATAAATTGACTTCCTTGTGAAAGATGACATAGTTTTTCTCATGAAATAGCTGAAATAGATCATGAGCAGGTTGGAAATCATAAATCGTCTCGTTATTAACTTTCTTCACAAGGTTCGATAGATGTATTTCCACAAGTATCTGACGAATGTTTTCACTTAGATGATCAGTTGTATTGAATAAATCCTTGAAGAACTCGTATTCGCTTCCTTCGACGTCGATTTTCAGAATGTCGAGATATTGTCCCGTGTGATTTAACTCCGACATGATCATTCGTAATGATTTTGTGTCATGCAGTCCACTTCCGATGTTTGCCTGATGAAATGTACAAATCTCTGTACAGTTGAATTGTTTCCTATCGAACGTGTGAATATCACAATTGGGCAACAAACGTTTCGTTTCATTCTCAAAACTGAATTCGCCATTCGAACCGAGACTGTAGATTAAACATGATGTCTTATTTTGTAAACGATAGGGATCACATATCCATTTACCACCATCGCCGTTGCATCCAAGACGTTGTTCGAATCGGCAGGAGAATGTCGGTTCGTAATTATCTTGAAAGAACATATAATGCGGACCGGAGAATTGATTTCGGTTATGTTGAAGATGAAATCGATCTTTTCGACGTTGCCAATCGTGGTCGTCTTCACAAAAGAATTCGTCACTTTCAAGCCATGATAGTCGACAGTTAGGCTCACTGATTTGGTTTAGTAAACGTGGATAGTGATGTCTGGTAAGGAACATGAGAGATATAAAGCAGAAGACGAAGAAAATAACGCAAAATCGTCGATTCCAGTTGATCATTTCGGTTTTGAAGGTGACTAAATATTCGTTCTTAATTTTTTTTTGTTTTATCACGTTTTTGCGTATGAAAGACGAGCGCTTATCAGCAGTACAAAAGTGAATAGATGCACAAGTTTGCATATGGTATCAACAAACGATAAATAAGATCTTGGCTTTTATTCGTCTTTTTCTGCCTGTTGTAAAATATTTATAAACATGCACATATTTTCATCTCGAAAATTACTTTGCGGTATTCACTAGTGCATTGATTCCCATTAATATTTTTTGTTTGCGCTTTGTTCAATGTTACTATAGCTTGTTTGATTAATAAGTCGAAGAGAAAAGAAAATACTCTGATGACCGAGATCCATCATCAGGTGTACTTAGTGAATCTTGTCAGTGCAAGTGTCTGAATGAACAAAAGAGACATTTGTACTGGATACTACAACGTGCGCCATCTTCATTTATTTTTTCCCTCTTTTCGGAATTCATCGACAATTCAATGTAACCAATCCACAGAATCGTTTTTATTTCACATAGATCCATCCGTTCAATTTCCGTTTGGTGGAAAAAGAAAATCCTCTCGGCATTCGTTCATTGTGTTCCGATGGGATGATGAATGCACGTTTCAGTAATGAATTACAGCAATTACAAATGGAGTTGCGTATGTTTGATAAATTTTAATTGACAAATTAATTATTTCTCTCATGAATAGGCGCTCAGAACTTTGACCTGATTCGATTTTCGACGTACCGAATAGCATGTAAATTACGTTTTATTCAAAAAAGATTAAACTGTAAATATTCTACAAACAGAAGAAGATTCCGATCGATTTCATCTGATATATTCTAGTTCATCTGCTCGATCTTATCAATGTTGTCGAAGCGCTTCGAGAAGCTTATAAAAATTTATCGCTCGATCTCATTTCGGCTAACACAACACCAATCAAGTCTCGGACGCCGTCATTTTTACCAAACGGCGATAAATATCTTTCAGTCAAACAACTAACCGGTTTTCTCACGTCTATTTACATCAATTTAAATAAACGTTTGCCAGGCTCACAACAAATCCACCACATCGACAATTGCGTTCACTCAGCTATCGCTTGGCTTCTATATGTTTATAATCCCGATGATTTTATTGTTAGTTTCAATTCATTCCGTGTTGTACTGATTTTGCTATGCTCTGGTAAACTAGTCGATAAGCTACGTCATTTATTTACATCTTGTTTTTCCACTTCATTGTCAAATACGTTAACTTATGGGCAGATAGATGAACTTTTACATGAAATCTTGGCATTACCATATGCACTGCAAGAAATTTCACATTCCACTTATTGTACAAATTATGCACGTTCGCTATTTTCTCAATCATCGTCGATAACACTCGACGAATTTCTTCAAATGTTAATCTACCAAAATAGGACACCGAATTGCCTGCAATGGTTGATTATATTTTACCGTTTGATTAGTGTAGAAAATGGTAAGTTTCTCCGAACGTTTCTGCAATGATGTACTCCATTTTTTCACTACATTTTGACCTGAATATTCACTGTCGAAAAAAGCGAACTGAGCAGAAAACAAGAAGAACTTACATGACATGATGTGTTTTCATTTAGTCATTCATCGCGTCAAATGTTCAGCTTGTCAGCGACCGTCATTTTCTGGTTTTCGTTATAAATGTCAACAATGTCATAATCGAGCGTATCAATTATGTCAAGATTGTTTCTGGCGTGGACGAACATCCGAACAGCATTTGTCAACACATGAGATGAAGGAATACACATATTTCACTTCGCCGAACAAAGACTTCCGACAATCAATTCGAAAGTGAGTGAACAAAGCCGTCCAAATCAAATTCATCTTCAACTTCGTTTCTGTCATTTTCAGATCATTGAAATGCATGCCAAAGAATGATAAACGCTATCAATTTTCCAGTTCGCTCACAGTCGATCGAGAACAACAATCGAGCGAACATCGAGATGTATCATTATACACGAAACAACTTGCTTCCGCTACAGATAATTATGATGCGAACTCACCGGATGAAGCTCGGTTTCGACAGAGATATAACGATCGTGGTAGTGCAGAGAAGAAACTTTTGATTTCGAAACTTGAAGCAGAAAACAGGTACGAAGAAAAGCACGTCTTATAGCCAAAGGAGTGTATTGGTGCTTTAGACGTATACTTCATGAAATCAAAACATTACGTGCACAACTCAAGTATCGATCGTTGGACTATCTTCGCGCTGCTGATCAGGATGTCGATGTCTTTTGTACAATAGATCAAGAACATGCTCGAAAAGTGCCCCACCACACATTGAGCTTCGATGATGAATATTTGGATGATCATTATCGTACGATGCAACCTGCTGGTTCAGCGGAAATGGCAATGAATCGAGCTCACTATGCCGAAGATGAATTAGAAACTCTGTTAGCACGAAAAATACACTTAGAGTCCCGTATTGATCATTTGAGACAAAACCGAGAAGAAGTAACAGCACAATTAGATCATTTAGGGAGAATTTTACATACTTCCTCTCATACAAGACAAAGATCTGCTACGACTAGTCCGCACAATCGTTCCGCGGCAGCATCGCCATGGCACACAAATTCACTTCAACGTGCCTCGAAGAAAGTGACATACCGAAGTTACTCGACACCAGCAACGCCTGTTCATCATCAATTCATGAACCATCGTAAAAGAGAAACTTTAGCTGTCATTCTCCTCATCTCAGCTTTTGCTTTGTCCTTTAGTACGAACAGATTTACTTCTGGCTGCTGACTCTCTAACATCTGCTCTATCAACATTGGTTCAGCATTTGAATACAAGTAAAATTCACTGTTCAATTCCCAGCAAAACCTTTTCACTTCTATCAATATTTAGATAGTGTAGCATCACATTCGGCAATGCTGTCATCCGAGAAGGAACTCGATTATTGTTCCCATTCTAACGGTGATTCCGCTATGAACGATGATTATCTCGTTGGAAAGATCGACAATGACGAGCGATTACTCTATTCTACGTTCATAGATGAAAAAATATGACATGACCAAGAGTCGACTCGCTGATCAATCGAACTTTTCCATACATTTCAGAGAATATCAAGTGATTTCTACCCGTATTTATTTTTGTGTACCGAATTGTCTTACATAATGTTAGTAACTATTTTTTTGTTGTGTATTGAATAAAAACAATATGAAAATCTTCTGCGAGATTATTGCTTGGTTATTTCGATAATATATGAGATTATTTATTTGGTAAATGAAGGCGATATGCAGTAGTAAAGGTGAGAGAGAAGGGAAAAATGTGTTACACATGAAAGCAAGCAAGCGCATCGCAATAATATAAAAAATGCAGTCATATAGAGTCCGGTATATAATGCTTGTTTACATAAAATGAAAAAGACGAGCGAACGGTAGCATATAAGCTGCAAAGATTGTGAAAGGTATGATCAGCGATTGTGGTTGTAGCTGATGTTTTGTTGCGCTAGAGGAACTATTCCCGGCTGTTCCCGACCCGACTGTCGTTGTGGACGTATTGCTTCCACCTTGATTCATATTGGTACTATTATCTGTCGAGTCAGTTGACTCACTGGCGTAGGCAGCAGTTGTTGAATCGACGGTGATAATCGCCAACGAAAAAATGGCGATTGATATCAGAAGCAATTGGGCGAATTGTTCCATTGGTTTGCTGAAGAAAATGGTGTGTTGTGCGACTGAAGATCTTGCTGTTATATTTGAATAAGGCTCCCGTTCAAAATGAATACAAAGACACACTTGCTTGAATCAATATATACTTTTCAAAATTCTTTTCTTGCGACAACAAAAAAACTTTGACTGGACCAGCCAGCAAGAGGTTTCATTTTGAAAAATCACATACTTTCTCTCTTTTATTATATTGATTTTTCCGCAGAGAAAAATCTTGATTTGCATTATATTTTTTCTTCTTTATTTCCGAGAAAGAATGTGCATTAAGAAAAACAAATACTAGGTAAACAGTTTTGTCTTCAGATTGAGTTCTTCAATAACTAACATTTAAATGTCAATAGCAACGCATAGGACTGCAACCGGTGGACAACGATGACAGGAAGAAATAAAGTCATATATTTAAAAATTTCCCAAGGCTGAGTATGACTTTCTCCGCGAGAAAGATATTGTGTAAAATTGTTCAATAGAAGTTGATTTAACATAAAGATAAGTGCTGTTTAACTTCTGGAAGAAAAACTTCAATTCGATTAAACATACTTGAATAGAAATAAATTGAATTCAGATTGAGTTCTTTACTTTCTAACACTCTCAACTCATCGACGACTGTTTTACGCAATCCGCTTTTTTTTTCAAAAGACATTCACCGCTTGACTTATACGATTAAAAACTTGACATGCTCATGGTCAGAAGAAGTTCATTCAATGAGTTTTATTTTTTTCGCCGCTGTTGACAGAACTTTCCGACAGTTATAAGAACTAACATCAGTACACAACAACAAACAAGCGACAGAATGAACATCCATGACCAATTATGAAGTTTTTGTTTCGCAATTCCTACAATAGAAACATCATTAAGATGCCTGGTTACAATAACATTTCATGAAGTCTCACTTGTTCGACATTGTTTCATTCTTTCGACACTATTCAAATGACTATTATCACCGCAATAATCTTTGTCGAAACATATTAATGACGAATCAATACATCGCCGATTTTGACAGTAGAATTGACGACTTGAATTGAAGCATTTCCCATCACTGGACAGATCATAAGTGACAAATTTCAATTCGAAACCCAACGCTTGACTTTTCGTTTGCCAGTCGATTGTAAATATCGAACTTTTCAGGATCAGTGCTGTCCGATCGAAACGTTGATCAGTATCTTTGCCACAGATAATCCGTAAAATTGAACCGGTTTTGAAACCCTAAATTGACCAAGATTCTCTTCTGAATTTCAACTGAACTCCTGTAAGATTTACATCAATGATTTGCAATCGATCGTCAACACCCGCATATTTGGCTTCCGTACAACGTGGAAACGACGAACTGGAATTCGATTGAAAATACTCGATCGACATCCACACACGTTTAGTCGTGCGAATGGTTATCGAACAGTGTGTATCGGCAAAGTACATATACTTGTTCTAAAGAAAGTCATTCAATCGATGTCAAAAAACTGAAGATTGTAGTTTTACATGAAAATGACTGTGCGAATACACCCTCCAAGTTGGTGCATCGGTTAGATCGACTAGATTCTGATTACATAGCGTTTGATTATCCATATAAACTAAAACAACAACATCGATTTATCAAAGAGCAGATGATCGTTTCGAAGATCTTACAATGCAATTGATTTTCAATTGAAGAAATCGACTTGAAATAAAGATGAAAGATAAGTAATATAAACAAATACAAAGACATGATCATTCGAATCAATGACAGTGGCGGACCAGTTGACCGGACGATGTCTCAGTCATTGTATTCAACCAGCAATAGGAGTGAAAAAAAGGAGGAAAAGGAAAAAAATTGAATGCCAAGTGACCCCCCAATGGCGATCATTTTCAGTTCATATGCTATCGGCTTCATTTACATATGTGTAAGAGCCTTGCTGACCAACTGGGGCGAGCTTTCATCTGTCTAGAGGAAAGAAGCACAAGAAAAAAAGTTAACTAAGTGGATTAACAATGGTTGTTCGCATTGCAAGTAACCAGCAGGTCATCAGATATGTGAAAAGAAACGACGTAACCGAATAATGATTATTTGTAAATTTCTGCTGAGAATAGACAGTTCGTCTGACATCTTCACATGATATCAAATAAATACATCAAGACAAATGAAAGTTTAATGTAACAATCAAATTTATTCCCTTGGCTATGACGTATTGTTATTATCATTTGATGATTATTAGTCTTTCGTTATTGTTTGCTTATGTAATCAGCAATGCAATTACATTAAATGAAAGATTCTTCTATCAATATATAAAACAGGTTTCATATCGTTCTCTTCCTGTTACAAAGAGTGTGTGAGAGATAGAGAGAAAGAAGGGAAGGAAGAGAGGCATGTCTCTTCTTACCATCTTCCTCTGCAAAGGAAATCACGCGTGTACAACATGATGATTACAAGCAGCACTTTGTCCTTCCGTGTAGAACAGTAATGAACTATCAGGCTCGTTTGTCATTCATTCATTCATTCGTTCGAATGTATACAACGTATTGATACAATTAGTCTTTGGCGTGTCCAACAAGAAGAAAAGGCGTAGACTTTTATTAATTGATATTATGCATGTCGAGATTTGTTAATCTTTATTGTAACTTTGCGAAGAAAAGGCGAGAGGAAAGAATCAAGCCGTATTTTCTCTCTCTCACTCTTTTCTCTCTTCTGTAGTCTTCAAGAAAAAAGAAGGTAAGCGCATTGATTTTATAATGAAACTGATTCAAATATAATCATAGTCCTTGTATATATGCCTAGCGGTTAGAAAAAGAGAAAAAGATATGTACGTATATATGTATAAACACATTTATTCATAAAAACACTTTGACAAAGGTCGCTTATTCATTGAGATCCAGTTGATTCTCTTAGGAATGAGACAGAACCGACGATCGTTAGTACATGCGTTGATATATCCAGATGATGATGACGATGGAGAAGATCAACAACAACTGATCGGATAATCTGTCCTCGATGTTCGAAATATTCAATACATCTGTAAACATATAATGTGTCGAGTTTCTTTCCTTGTTCACCCATTCTTGTTCTTTTTTTTGTTCTCGATTGTGATTACATCATCTTATGCGTTAGCAAAGAAATTGTCTGACATTGAGTAATGAAAATTAGTATAAAAAAGGAGTTCGGCAGCAGTTGCATGTCTTCAGAGATCTCAAGAGGTGATAACCTTGATGAGTCGTAGCTAAATTGCTGTATGTAAAACAACGAGACGACACATTGTAAGGTTCATTAGCAATTGGATTCTCTTGTAAATGACTGTCTATTCCCATAATATCTTAATAACTTTAGTAATTCTTCTTCTCTTCTGACATTCATATCCACCAAAGTCAAACTCGCAGTTCGCCGTTTGAATGCATACAGTAAAACTTGTTTGCGTTCACATTACTTGCGCACGGGAAGTGTGTGTGTATGTAGCACTTTGAATACGTCGACACACAAATCGTTCAAGTTCTTCGCTTTATTTATCTCATTGCATCATACATCTCATCGATGCCAGACAAGCTCTCGTTCTCTTGTCGTTGATTTTTTTTTCGCTCTTTGTCGCCTGTATGTATATATTTTTTCTTCTCGTTCATACGATGTGTTAAACTGATGTCGTCAGCAACAAATAGGAAAAAAAAACGGTAAGTATATGAGCTTTTAATACATATGACCAGAGGTCAGCACGAGTAGAATAAATACGATTCAAACACTTTTGAACAAGTAAAGCAAAGAAAGAAGAAAAGACAGCGCACCAGCAATAGCAGTACAGTTACTCTAGTCGATGAGACGAAGAAGAGAGAAAGAAGAAAGAAAAATTCTTCCACTTCGTCTACCATCGAACACTCAACATACCGTACATATAATTCATCATTAATACACATACACATATCGAGAAAGATAGACGCGACAGACGCGATCATTCATTCAGCTGAAAATAGCGCCAGAGACGTGCGATTGTTTGAAAAACATGTCAGCAATAGAATTTTGATTCGTGTCAACGTTGATACACTCTGTTTGAATTTCTTCTAGAATGGCAACAAGCAGTTTGCAACATCTTTGGAGAAAATCTTTTCACTTACATCATATGAACGATTGTGACGATTTGAATTTTTACTATAAGAAATTTCTCAATAAACTAAGTAAAATATGCTTGAAAATTTTCCTTCCGTTATTATTCTTAACGAACTTCTTCGCGTTATTTCTCTGTCGTTTATTATTATCAAAACAAATATTTGACATTCGAACACAAACGTATTGCGTATTGATTTTTTTAACTATCGTTCTATTATTACTCGTACGCCTACATTCGAAACGGAAACGACTCTGGCTTTTCACGCGTTTTCTCCTCGTTTTTCTTCTTATTATCCCATTGATTATCACGTATCAAACTGAACAATTTCATCTATTATTATCGTCGATTTCAATTCTTCTGGTTTATTCACTATTAACTTTCACATTACTTCAATCTCTCGTGATTTCGTTAAGTATTTCCGTACTTTATATCTTTTTGAACAATTCGATTCATTGGAAAACAACGGAGTTCTGTTCGATCGTCTTTTATCATTTCATTCTGAATCTAACCGGTTTGTATTCTTATGTGAGTTCGATCAACCACATTCGTCAACATTTCTATGCGTATAAAACCAACTTATTCGAAAAGAACAAGTCCAACGTTGATTGTAAGAAACTCCATACGATCATCGGCTATTTCCAACAGGCACCAACAACATTAGGGAGCAAGTATGTAGCAATCAATCTGATTAATCTTATCTCTAAACACTAGAGTAAACGACTTCGAATGTAAATGAAGAGATTTGTTATACAAAGAGTTATCGAATGATGTCAGATTCTTTGTATTGATTATATCATCGTTAGGTATCACAGGAGGAGACTGACCTTTTCATTTCTATGGAGCCAATTAAGAGCGATTTGATTATCTTAGCTAGACACAATACAACTCAATCGAAAAGAAAGCCGAGAACGAAGGCTACTATGTTAATGATCTGTATTTCGTCGTCAACTGGAACGTTGATGTTATCATCTCGTACATATGCTATCGACAGCTCGTATTTCCCGAGTAAATTTGCCGTTAAGTGATAAGTCCTAAAGAATGTAAATAAACAATTTTCTAGGCATCTGATGTCATTCAAGGAATGTTTTGAGGGAAAGTTGAAAGAAGAAAGTTCTTTTTAATTTAGTTGTCAAACGAAACACGGCACGATCATTAATTGTTCGATCTCATTAAATGAACAAACCCGAATTCATACGTGCGACGAATTAGCGTCACTGATCGATGTACTCTACTGTCAGATTGAACAATTAATTCTCCAAATTCAACCGGAAGCAACATATGTCTTCGATAATGAAACATTGATCATTGGTCTATTAAATGAAAGTCATAATGAACAATTAAATATTGACAATAGTTGTCGTTTGGCAATTGAATTATTTCGTTTTATTCAACATGTTAATCAAATAACGCAATGGAATTTGACCATCGTTATCGGCATTGATTATAATCAAATCACCGTGATTTCTTCTCGATTTCTACAAGGTTCAGCTGCTGATTATTCTCGATGGTTACGTGAAGAATGTCCTGTCCGAGATCGCATTCATGTTTCTCACAAAATCTACGACTCTCTCAAAGACAATTGCTTTTATAAGTTCTCGATGATCACCAACAATTCCACTTATTTGCTTTTCAATACCAACATGTACGAACCGTTTCATCACGGATTGATCCTGATGAACACATCGAACATGATCGATCAGCTGACACGCATACAAGCGGAGTATTACGTGGAAAAGCATCTCGGAACGATTACGTTATCGCGTTCGCTCCGGAAACGAAGTTTATTCGAATTGACCTCGGAACATATTCATTGGTTTTGTTTGAACTTTCGTGATAAATATTTAACAAAAGATTTCCAAAGTATTCATCGAACAGCACGTCCAAGCAGCTTTCTCTATAGTTTTATTTTATTAATCCTCGTCGGCTCATTGTTACAATCATTTGTGATTAACCATTTAACTTTTACGTACTTAGTATCCTTTCCTATGCTTATTATCGGATTAGTTATCTTAATTATGAGCTTTTATTACATAATTCGTATAGAAAATTCGGAAATTAATAAGAAATTTTACGTATATTTGAATGTTTTAATTTGTTTAACATTAACAACGTTGATTTTCGTCGCTGTTCAATTTCATTCGATACAAAATTTTAAATATTTGTTCATGTCAACTATGTCGGACAATGAAACAAACTCGAATCAATCATCGTCAGCAACGAAAACTCATTTAAACAGGTAAAGTAAGGGGTGGTCCAAAAGTCTTCCGTTCTCACGACAGAACTGCCTTCTTCAATCAATCAACTCGAGAGCGTAGGCGTGACTAGTAGATACACTTGACATGCATAGTATCACCCGCCTTCGTCGCGTTTTGCAATTTATCATCGAGAATGTTTTGTCTCGTTTTTTTTTAGTGAATCTTTCTTTGATCGTCGGTACCATAACTATTTGGTAGTAGCTCCGATCTATCCACTATATTTCTGTACGTTATTCCGTCAGTGTTCATGGATGATCAAGACTTTCTTCATCATTTGTTGTACAATTCTTCAATTATACATCTTAGAATATGTCTGGCTAACAACAAGTACCTATTTTCCTTCGATAAATGCTTTACATCATTATACTTCATTCGCATTGGTTATTTTTCATAACCTTCTTCTGATTATTTTGTCGTATATATACGAATGGCTGGAGAAAATCGACTTTCTTTGGTTGAAGCAAATCGACAACGAACGGCTGATGATTATTCGACAGCGAAATCAGCTGGTGAAACAGGTTTCATCCGTGTTGCCAAAGCGTGTGATTGATTATTATCTGAATACGAATTGGAATCTGTCGTTGACACAACATTATCATCAGAAATATGATCGAATGGGTTTGTTATACATTCGTTTTAGTCCATTGATAACGAAAGATGAACATTCTTTGGTCAATTGTATGAATAACATTGAATATTTGATGAGAAATAACGAAAAGTATCAAGATATTGTCCTGCATAGAAAGTCAAATATAAAAGAAGTGATTCTATCACTCGATATACAAAATTCGTCAAAATCGATCCAGAATTTAGTTGAATTGCTCTTTCAAATTGAAGAATACCTCCAAACTCATCAAATCAATCTCACCGCTTGTCTGCACATTGGCTCGATCGATGAAATTCTCGTTCACTTCATACAGTATCCCAAACTTGATCTCTGGAGTGAACACCTCTCCCTAATGCAGTTGTTAATTTCCAAAATTCAATTGAATCATTGTTTAGTAACATCATCTGTCTATCAGTTACTCAATGATCTGTATCTATTTCGAACAGCTGGCTCAATTATCGACGCACAGATGAACATTGAAAATAATACCAACATTTACTTTCTACTCGGACGTCTTATCGGAGATAATGTCTTCCAAGTAAGATAGAAACTTTCTTCGTTTAGATATCCGATGGAATCTGATGTTTTCAGGGTCGAAACACTCTTCCATTGGTAATCAATCAGCCGAACAATGATACAATTCCTAAATCTTCAAGTACAGACGAATCTCATCATTCCCAATTTTCTCAACGCGATAAAAACCTTTCAATGACGACGACAACAACAACAACAACGACAACGGCATCTTCGGATATGGTCAATGATCAGCAAAGTCTATTGAAGCAACCAGCACGAAAACATTTACGTCCTAGTCAAGCATTGTATCGTGACACGTTGTTGCAAGCATTGAATCCGACGACAAATAATTTACATCAAATTAGTCCGATTCGGAAACTGACCAATCTGATTAATTCAAACGAAAATAATTCTTGGGCACTGAGAGAAATAGTTGCCAATGACAGTACTTGCATCATGCTGACACAGAAGCTCATCAATGAACCGATAGGTAAGTTCGACACAATTGGAAATAACAAACAAATCAATGTTCTTTCGTGTTAGATGAAACGAATCTATGTAAATCGATTTCGTCGTCATCGAAATGTCCAGCATCTTCCAAACATAAGATATCTCTCGAAGATAACTGTTATCAGTTACTTCAGGATCAATCGTCCAAAGATCCGTTTCATGGATCTCATAGTTTATCGACAACGAACGAAGAAACGGCATCGTCATTCTCTGGCTGGGATGATCCACCTTCATCTTCTGTACCCGCGACCAACAATCTCAATCCAACATCGGACACATCACCACCACAGAACAATGTGTACCCGTCGCAAACATTCGATGTGTCATTTACAGTAAACATGGCTACGAATGAAGCGAACCCTGCTATTCCTCCGAACAATCCTCAGCAAGCTAAGTCTATTTTTCGTCAGTTACCATTTAACTTAGCACGTAAATTAATTGCGGATACGTCTGAAAGTGAAATGTCTATTCATCATGATCCATGGACGCAAAACAATGCTTATCAAGCGAGAGCCCTCCAACGGACGCGATTCTCTTCGAGTTATAACAATCTAACTAAGTAAGACTTCTTCCCACTTGTCTAAAATAGATAATATCATTGTTCTATATCTTTCAGTCTTCAATCGAAACAACGACAATATCCGGCTCTATTTCATCCTGATTTGTTACAACGATGGCTTGAAGATCAATTGAATCAATTCCGTTGTCATGTGAAACAAACTCCGCCTCTTCTTCCGAAAAAAATCCAACAATATTCGACGACTGAAAATGACTCAACAGATAACGAATCAGATACTCTTCATGAGAATACCTTTCCGATTCTGAATACCAAATCAAAAAAACGTCCCTACCATCACATTCGCTACAAAACGCTTCGAAAAGCCAATCAACTCGTTCGACATGAATCTCTCAATGACAGAAATCGCCCTCTTCAATATGAGAATAACAATCCAAAGAGAAAGCTTCCAAAACGAACCGATTCATCATCTATACCTGCATCCGATCAGAGTGACATTGCATCCTCGCGACCGGATTACCTATCTGAGGGTGTACTATCGAATCTCGAGTCGGAATATGACAACATGTACACACAGACTCGGCATGCAAGTAAATCAGATAACAATCGGAATAATTCACAGATAATTACCGATCAAGACGATGAAAGTGAAGATGAAACAACAATGGCAACAACGATTAATCGATGTTACTTTTAAATTTTTTGTTTTGTATTTGTAACATAGTTCCACTAAATTATCTTGTTTACATTGAAATAGAAAAACACGACATTTTGTTTGCCGCTATTCAAAAGATTGTTCGATAGTTTTGTATGCAATTGCCACCCCGACGAGAAAAATTATCTTCAGGCGATTACATCAAAGAATGTCCTACACGTCGAACAAACGTTGACAACATGAATTAGACTTAGTTATTGTTGCGACGAACTAAAACTATACAAGCTAGTTTTACACAACAGATGGCGCCAAAATCGACTTTAATGCGATAGTTTTCAACGCAATTTTCATAGTTCTGAACGGTTGTTCCAAGTGTAATAATGCACTCAATGCTTATCGTGAAATGCAGAGTGGAAGAGTGTATGTGTTAAAATCAGTGCTTCGATATATCCCATGTGTGATCGTCTGAAGTACGGTCTTGGCAATGGAATTAGTCTGAATGTATCTTTAATTTCAACGGAAGTACGCGTAATAGTTTGAGCTTTCATTCCAATCATAGTGTTTGGTTTGCAGCACCTCCCACAGATCTCTCCTTTTCGTTTGAGCACAGAATGAAACTGATAACATGTTGTTCTTCCCCGACAGAAGAACTCTTTTTCTTATCATTCTAGTATTCTTTTTATTTGGCTAATATAATTCTTATAAAGATACAAAAAAACAAATTCATGAGATACACATAAAACTGAGAGTAATGTAGAAAACGAAGTAGATATGTACAAATTAGCATCAGTTGAAATTATTCGCATTTGGAACATCGAAGAGAAAGGACGGAAGTGAGTGCTAGTATAAGCAATAGTATGGAATGTGATTTCATCGAACTACCATTACAACCATCACGATTTTCGCAGTACTAAAATTAGAAGAATGATTGAACCTTCACGTAAAAATTAAAATCAGCTAACTCTCGAGTCTTCTATCATGTAAAACAGTCAGCATGCTTATAATTCAAAATGACTTACACAGACAGCTACTTCTAGACCGACTTCATCTATGAAATATCGACAACCTTGAGCAACACCTAATGTTGATCTTGATGCGCAGGAACGTATCACAGTTTTCCATCCCTTTGCTAAAGAAAACACAAGAATTCAGTGAGAAGAATTTCAATAGCGTTCTTTACCATAAAATGTATCGAAACTTTCTTTTGACATTTTCATACACATATGTCCAGGCACATAAGATTCTAAACTGAAACAATCTACCAGTGCATTTTTGGTTTCATCAAATTTGCCGAATGCGGGACAGAATTCATCTTCTTCACTACTGCACTGATAACATTGAATACCATCAACTAAATCATCAAACTTCGTCGATACAAAATGACAAGTACATATAAAAGTCATCCATACCAGGTCCTTGCTGAATATAGACTAGTACCAAAAAAAGTATCAATATTACATTCATACTGATCTGAAAAGAACTCGTTAATTAATCAGTTGTTTCTGAGAGTTGATTTTGAAATAAAGAAAAAAGATAACCTTGAACCATTTTTCTGTCTTCTTTCTTTCGTTCGGTTGAAATTGAATGACCTATGTGCGCCATATAGGACGCTCAATTTACCTTCCTCTTTCTTTTTTATTACCTGAAGTTTATTGATTGGAGAGAGTTTTTAACGAATCACACAATTGTCCGAAGAAAGACCGGTGCCCACATCAAATTTCGTAATCGAATTCGATAGAAATGTGAAGAAGTCTTCTTTAATCCACGCCCTCAACTTCATAGCTTGACACACGAGTGTCTGCCTCCTAGAATCTTTTACAACAACAAAGAGCCTTCCCTTCTTCCCAGTGGTCGAATCCATTCGTAACGAACAGACCTTCTAATACCTCTTTCGTATCCAGCAAGTCGTCTGATCAATTCTCTGATACAGTTATTGCATGTCGTCATAATTCAATAGAACTAGAAAACATTATGGCGAGCGAATATCAGTAGGGATATACATAAACAATGAATTGTAGAAAAGTCGAGTTTTCGATCGTGGAAAAGATTATCATATCGGCGGGGTATCAACGAGATCTTTTATTTGGAAACGTCATAGTACATGTTTTTCGCTGAGTACATTTTGCGGGTTTTCTTTGTAAAGAAATAACGCCCTCTATTGACTGCTGAGTGGTCTATATCGAGAACCTTATTGGATAAGACTTGCACATCACCTGACTGTCAACAAATAAGTAATAATAACGACAAAAGAAAAATAGCGTAGCAAAAATAGAGCAAATCATGTGAGAACTTATTTTTGTAACTGAAAAAACGTTTTTTATCGTTTTTATTCATGATAAGTGATCATGGCCCATGATCTACAACAACTTGCTTTGATCGAGAAACCTTTACATCTAAAGTAGGTCATTTTTACGATTATTTTCCACTCTGAAAATCACATTCGCTTGCAGTTATCTACGAGATTTTCGCGTGGAGCAATGTCAATTATTTCTACAACACAAATGTACACAGTAAGAGAATAGAAATTACTTAGCAGAGATACTAAACTAGAGAGCGTCTTTAGACATCGTCCTTTTTCATGTTTTTATTGGCATTTTCAAAATCAACGTCGTCGACGACCAGTTTGCCGACCGGATGGAACATTCTCATACGATCCGGACTTCTACTGCAATGATTACGATGAACAAAGTGGCGTTTGTCCAAATGGAGATGAGTACGTTGAACTCCAATCATTTTTTTTCCCACAAACTTTGTTTTTTTCTCAGTTGCCAACTGTTACATCGAAATGCAAATGATACAGAGAAACGTTATCATCTTCGTTATTACAAAACAGGCTTATGTACGCACGAAACTGATGCCAAAGGGCATTGCTTAAAGAATGGACCACATTGTTCATATGCTCATGGTGCAAATGATCTTCGACAACCAATATTGGATAGTAGAGAAATACAAAATACTGATTTAGCTTTAGAAAGATTAGCAAGATTATGTATTAGTTTGGAAAATGAACGAGCTTTAAACGATGATCCAAAATGGAGTGGTATGTCCGACATATTTCTTTCTATTCAATCATTTTCTTCAAAAATCTTTTAGATTCGCATTATGTTCTGGCTAATTATAAAACCGAACCATGTAAGCGTCCACCACGTTTATGTCGACAAGGATATGCTTGTCCGCAGTATCATAATCCCCGTGATCGTCGTCGTAATCCATCGATATTCAAATACAAGTAAGGAAAAGTAGTATATTTTGTCTGAAGTTTTGAAAAACTTCTCATCTAGATCAACGCCGTGTCCACATGTCAAACAGAGTGACGAATGGATTGATCCGACCATATGTGAAGCTGGTGATAATTGTAAATACTGTCATACACGTACTGAACAACAATTTCATCCTGAAGTAGGTTTAACTACGGAAAATAGGTTTGCAGAGTTCTGAAATTGTTTCATTTGGTAGATTTATAAATCAACTAAATGTAACGATGTCTCAGTAACAATTTATTGTCCACGTGGACCATTTTGTGCTTTCGCTCATATTGAACGTATGTATACGATGCACTGAAACGGATCGTCGAAAAGAATTGTTCTGTTTGTTTTGTAGAAGAATTAAAATCCTATCGAGATTTTGATCTTCACTATACAAGTGAATTACCATTATCATCGTTTATTCCGATCCCAGAAGATAAAGAAGTTGGAAACATCGATGTAAGCAAAGAATTTTTTTAATCTTTTTCGTATTTCATTAATTTGCATTTACATTTAGTCATTAATGCCAGCAAGAAACATTCCAAAAAAGTCCTCTCAACCATCTCTATTCGAGGTTGGATCATTTCCTGGCGCTGCAATGAAACCATTCGAAAAACATGTATTGACATTTATTCACCATTTTCCTTCATATCTCTTTCGGTTTCGACCTTTTAGCCGCTGATGGCAAGCAATTCTCCAAGTGGAACAACATTTCCTGTTCAGGAAGCATTCGTACAAAAGCCACCGTCACAACAGCGTTTCAATCAATTTCAACCTCCTCCTCCTGCGCAATTTCCACCAACATTTCTAAACGATCAATTTCTTCTATCAGCTGCAGCTCTAGCTGCCAGTCATTCTTATCCTCCTCCAACGACGTACTTGTCGTCATTAATCGCTTCGAACTTGCTGTCATCGATCAACGAACATTTTCATACAACAATAACTACACCGACAGCGAACTATTTCGGTGAGAAGAAAGATGCTCAAGAATTTCACGGTTTACCATCCGATGTAAAAAATCTAATTGAATCATCATTAACTGCAATCGGTCTTGATAATGTCGACGAAAGTGATTTTGACAAAGCAGCAACGAATACATTGGGTATAAAGCGAAGTTCATTTCTTGATGATGATTTGGATAGTTTCGAACGTTCAACAACACCAGCAACGACTAATACATCAACAGGTTCGACAAATCCAATGTCACGACCAATGAATATTCCAAATTCATTTTCAAACGATTATTTCTCTCATTCATCATCAGCAAAATCACCGTTCGATGCACCGAATCATCTCTTCGATGGACCAATTGAATCCGTATGACAATTTTATATCCACTCGAATCTATTTCTTTGTTTTTGATTATCTAGCCAATCGACACACCATTTCCTGAACCTTCGACATCAAGTGGTCCAAGTAGTCGACCTGGTGAATTGTACAAAATGGCTGGTTTCAGTCAAGATCTACCGACAACCTCTTATCAAGTACAATCGTCTTCACCGCAGACAGTTCTTCAACGTTTCAATACCACGAGTACAAACTCGTCGTCGTCATCATCGGAAATCGATATCATGCGAAATCGTGTTTTGCAAATGCAGGTCTTGGCGATGACTGAGAAGGAGGTCTGTCTAGATTATCAGAATTCGTATCGATACCGAATATTTTCGTTTTGTTTTTCTATTGAATTAGGCATCAGAACATTGGCGTCGTGAGGCTGAAGAGCACCATCGACTTGCCCAGCATCTGGAACAAGAGAAGAATCATGCTATTCAACAACGTGACGAAGCAATTCATCAAGTCGAACAGATGCGGCAATTACTAGTACATAATAACACACGTTTATTTCCAAGTGATCACGATTTAATGAAATTACCGCTCGATGATGTTCGTTTGTTACAAAATCAATTGCAACAAGAATTAACAAAGCTATCATTGGTAAGTTCGTCTATGTCCTTTTTTTTCATGGAAATTTTATCATACAAAACTATGTAAATTCATGCGATATCAAAACAAGTCATATTCCTTTCAAGTTGATTGGTCCTATTCACATTCGTATTGTTGTTTAGATTGAACAAACCAAATCGAAGAATGTTCAACAAACTCCACCAACTGACACTAGTCCCAACACTCCGACAACAACAGTATCACCTCGCCAACGGCAAACGAAACATACTCACGGCAAACATGCTCTACTTTCATCAACGTCGAAACAATAAAAACTTTTCCTTTCAACTCTTCACCTTCTTCTTATTTATTCTTCTGATAATATTTTTATTTTCGAACCTCTAGGTCAATCCTTTCTACATATGTATTCACAAACACACACCCTCTCTCTCTCTCTATTTTACTCGTTCGAAGGAACAGTGGAAGTGCATCATTATCTGTGTGTAGGAAAGCTTGTCTGTACATATACTATTTTGTTTTCTATTTCAATTTAGATAGGCGTGATTATTCCTGTATAAGTAAATGCGCATGACTTGTTCATTGTATTTTCTTCTTAGTAGACTTGAAGCTGTCGAAAAATATGCTTCTGTAGAATGAGTAGTAAAACGCAGAAGCATTAAGTTCTATTCCGTTATTTATACATACACACACACACACACACGCGTATGTGAAGCGATGGATTTCAACTCGGTTATTGATTTTATTTTTATTTTTATGTTTGCTCTTTCGTAGGCTAATCTTTGCTACATAGGAAATTGTTCGCGTTTCGTTTTTTTGTTTAGTACAGAACATTTTGTTTTTCTTTCTCTTTTTGGCATGCGTATAGATGTACCATCTTTATTTTATCATTGGATTTTCTTTCTTTCGTTTTTTTTGATCGTTATTTAACCGAATAAAGTAAACATGTACCTCATGAAATCTTCCCCACAAGTCGACAATCAAAAAGAAACACTCATTTTCTCTATCTGACATCGTGTTAGCATACGGAGAAAGAGCAAGAAATCTTAGATCATACTCTATTTGTACAGGCAACTATTGACGGAGCTATTGGTCGCCTCTTTTTGCTTCTCTCTGGATAGAACGGAAAGAAAAAGAGGAAAAAAGTTCACCGCATCAGTCAGAGTACAAAAAGGAAAGCTGAATGAAGTACGGAGGTCCATTTTTTTGTTACAGTGAATCGACGTATGTGAATGTACGTTGAGAAAAAAAAGGAGAAGTAAGTAAGTGTCAGATGAGGCCGAAGGTTAACACTATTAAAACATTTCAATCGGATACTTGTGCATACTTCTATTATTCTTGTTAATGTAAATATCATAAAATTACAGGGAGCGTTTTTTTTTTCTCCTTTCGCATATTGAATGAATAAGTAGTTTCATTCTTTCATTCATCTTCAGTCGAACGGAAAAGAAACTGCTAATAGGAGATGATTAACAAGTAAGAAGTACAGACATTGCTCGATTACCCTGCTGACAATCCGACTAATTATTGTTTTATGTTCATGCTTCTTCTATCAGTGTTGAACAAAAGACCATGCGTGAGAGTTAGCGAGACGAATGCTTTTCTCAATCGATGTATACCATTAGAACATGCTTTTAACAGTCGCGAGCAACTGTTTAGATAGTTCCCTGAAAACACAGATGTGAGCGATTATTTCATAATAACTCATCTTTTGCTTTGCCGACAATGATCATTATTAGTGAACGTTTGTATTAAAATCTAATTCGATTCGATGATGCATATCACGATCAATCTTTCGATTGCAATACGAGATAGTTGAGTAATATCAGTTTTTCTGATCAGTTCTATTTCGAATGTTGTTTTGTTGTATATAGAAAAACAAGATCGTTATCATCGAAGTATTAGTAAGTATAAGTTGTTCTCCTTGTACAATTGTTCGAGGTTAACTGATGATTTGTCGATATTGTATGATAGAAAAGCAAATGAGAAATAACCTTGC